ATAACACAAATATGGTGCATTAACCTTGCTACCTCTATTTCCACATGTCACCACCCCTCTTGAACGTTTGCTGATCATTTATGCATAATTATTTTCAAAAGCTACTGCAGAATCTCCTCTTGCAGCATTTTGTTTATGTTTCCAGCTTTTAAACGAATGGGTTGAGCCTCAAATTGGTATTATAGCAGTTCAGAATAACTTTTGCAGTAACAACACAACCTAGGTGTTATGAGTTATAAAAGAGAGTGCGCAGGTAAACGAATAACGAGGCTGTGACTGAATCAACTGCGAATACAATGAATGCACGGACTAATGTAGGACTAGTCTAGCTAGGAGGAAACCTCGGACGAGTGAGGTTGGGTGCAGGTTTGGCGATGGAAATGCCGAAGGCGACGCGAGGAGCCTTGGCAGCATTGAAATCGGCCGAACGTGCGAACTCCGAAAATCGGGTTGTACGCGAAGCAGTCAACCCCGATAAGGAATTCGGGAAAATTCCTTACACCACCCCCCCCCTTAAGAAAGGCAGTCAATATCCGAAACACGTCGTCGCGCCAGGTAATCACCAACAAGTGTCGAGGCGTCAAGTGAAGCGGATGGCACCCGCGTGTCGTCCTCACTGGTGCGGTCGGTCCAGCGAATTAAGAAATCCACGTGGCGTCCAGCTGCGTCAAGGCGGACCCGATGAGCGAGAATCTTGGAAGGTTCAAGGGTTGGCTCCGGGACACGTCGGGCTGTCGGGGCCGCTTGCTGACGTGCGATGTCGGTCGTTGCAGGCACGAATTTCCGAAGAAGGCTGATGTGGAAAGCGTCATGGATGTGCCAATCGTCTAATATCAACAGCTTCGCGGTGACAGGTGTCACCATCTTGAGGATCTTGAATGGTCCGCAAAATCGTGGCCGTAGTTTCGATGGACCGGGCAGGTTCAGGTTCTTCGTGTCGAGAAGCACTTGTTGCCCAGTTGACAAGACGAGTTCCCGTCGTAGAAGGTTGGTGTATTTGCGGGAAGTAATATTCGCCTTGAGAATTGCGTCTGCGGCTTTTTCACGGACTTCCTGGAGTTCCATCACGATAGTCTGGGAGCTCGGGACCGGATTGGCGAGTGTAGTCGTCGTTGGAACTGCCGGGTCCATCCCATAATTCAGGAAAAATGGGGAGTGATTAGTCGTGCTGGATGGTGCGTTGTTGAAAGCGAATTCCAACATTGCTAGCGGGTTTTGTCAGTAGATCTGCACTGTGGATGCCCAATTGATCCTGGAGAGGGTTACAGGCGCGTTCGCCTGGGGGGTTATGGGCGCACTGACCCGCTACTAAAAAAAAAACAAGCCCTTTTATCCCAATGGTCTAGTAGTTGGGATTCTGACATGGTATCAGAGCGGTCTCGGGTTCGATTCCCGGTGTATGCACATGTAGGCCGTTGCCGCTGTGCTTAGTCCTGAGCCTCCCAGTGTGGGGGGTGTCAGTAGATCTGCACTGTGGATGCCCGATTGATCTTGGAGAGGGTTACAGGCGCGTTCGCCTGGGGGGTTATGCGCGCACTGACCCGCTACTGAAACAAGCCCTTTTATCCCAATGGTCTAGTGGTTGGGATTCTGATATGGTATCAGAGCGGTCTCGGGTTCGATTCCCGGTGTATGCACATGTAGGCCGTTGTCGCTGTGCTTAGTCCTGGGCCTCCTAGTGTGGGGGGGTGTCAATAGATCTGCACTGTGGATGCCCGATTGATCCTGGAGAGGGTTACAGGCGCGTTCTCTTGGGGGGTTATGGGCGCAGTGACCCGCTACAAAAAAAAAAAACAAGCCCTTTTATCCCAATGGTCTAGTGGTTGGGATTCTGACAAGTCTTCCCAACGGGCAGGGTCGGGGCAATTTGTCCTGATTAACTGCTCCATGGTTTGGTTGGTCCGCTCGGTTTGACCGTCCGTCTGTGGGTGGTATGCCGACGAGAACTGTAGCTTCGTGCTGTACTGCGCCCACGTCTCTTTCCAAAACTTGGATGTGAACTTTGGGTCGCGGTCGCTGATGATCGCCGAAGGGATGCCATGCAGGCGCACGACCGTTGAGATGAAAAGTCGCGCAGTTTCTTCGGCTGTGATTGTCGTTCGGCATGGTGCGAAGTGCGCCATTTTCGTGAAGCGGTCGACGACGACGAGAACAGCGTCGTTGCCTGTCGTCCCAGCTGGCATCCCCGTGACGAAATCCATCGTCACTTGCTGCCACGGTCGCTCGGGTGGCTCGAGGGGTTGCAGCAGCCCAGCTGGACGCTGACGTGTCGACTTCATTGCTTGGCACACCCTGCATGAGGACACATAGCGCTGCACGTCGTTAGATAAATCAGGCCAATAATATTGACGGTGCAGTAGTTTCTGGGTTTTATCAACCCCGAAGTGTCCGGAGAGGTTCGAATCGTGGATCTCCTGGATGAGAAGTTCACGCAGCAGTCGGTAAGCGGGAACCCAAATCCGGTCGGTTCCGGCTTTTACGTAATAGTCCCCTTTCTGCGTCGTAGCCTGCTGATGATTTCCCGTTGTGAAGAATGGGTCTGTCGTGTAGCCGTGGGTAAATAGTACGGTAAGTAGCGGGTTCGAGTGGGTGATGAGTACTGCAGCGGATTGTACTGTTGGTCGGGTAAGGGCGTCGGCGATGTTATTAGCCCCTTTTTTGTACGTGATGCGGTAGGTGAAGTGGCTCTCCATGTAGTCGAGCCATCGAATCTGTCGTGGGTTGAGGTTGGGCTGGGCTCGCAGGTACTGTAGGGACTTGTGGGTGGCAGATCGTCGGGGAAGATGTCCGGGTACCTCCGAATCAGCTCCGCTAAATCCGGTGGTACAGCTGCACACAGCTTCTCGATGTCCTTTCCTTCGGTGTCGACCGCCAACTCGCGTAAGCAAACAGCGAACAGTTGCGCGCCTCTGTTGAAGTGGCGAGCTATTTCAGCTGCGAATACAATGAATGCACAGACTAATGTAGGACTAGTCTAGCTAGGAGGAAACCTCGGACGAGCGAGGTTGGGTGCAGGTTTGGCGATGGAAATGCCGAAGGCGACGCGAGGAGCCTCGGCAGCGTTGAAATCGGCCGAACGTGCGAACTCCGAAAATCGGGTTGTACGCGAAGCAGTCAACCCTGATAAGGAATTCGGGAAAATTCCTCACACTAGGAATGAAGATGATAAAAGCTGCGTGTATTCGGCAGATATTGCTGCGTGATCTATTGACCCCTCGCCACACGCACCTCCCTACACGGGTTCGTTTTAGCGGTTCACGCTTGGACGTGATGGCGATCCGCGAGTCTTCGTGTCGCGTCACTTGAGACTTTGCTGTGCTTATGGTGAATGTTTGCTGATGTGGCGAAAGTCGCAGCGTGCCCAACCGCGTAATCCAGGTACACCACGACGACAAATGCCCTCAACGACCTTTGCAAAGGACGGCTATTGCCTGGCTTCGGCTTGAGCGACGAGCCAGCCAGCTAACAACTGTCACATTCACGGGAACCTAACCTTCAAGCGAAACCTTCTGCGACTGTTCGATTGCCGCAAGACGACTCATTCTGTTAAACCGCACCGCCTCAAGTGGATGAGCGCAGCGCTGCGACACACCATTTTTCGCCACACAATCACAGTGTCCCTTGGATCATCTGCGATGGATCGCACATGCGCCAGCGGCTTGGAGCCCATAACAGAAGGGGCGATCGCATGCTAACGAAGCTGACGGAACGACATCGACCAAACCTCGAGGGGCTGATGTTGTTTCGAATTCTCTACCTTCCAAACCTGTCGCACAGACGTCAGATACTAGTAATTCCCACATCGAAATAATCGCAGGAGATTTCAGAGCATCCAGCCTTGATCGCACGACAAGTGAGGTGCCACCACGAACTGACGGGAAAGTGACAATCTCTAAGGGGTGTGCGAAAACCCGAGGAACAATCTCTAGGGCCTACCAACCAAGCCCGCGCAACTGGAACGCAGTTTTTGCTGCTCATCAGATCAAGGTAAATGGTCTGCCAGATGGCCAGGGGTTCGCAGAGAAACACCCTAAACATCAAGAAACTAGGGACGGAGTTCGCACCCTCCTTTCACCCGCGCGGCGACATCTGCGCTTACTCTGCTTTTAATTTATCTGTCGTGTGAAGGACTGTGGGGAGTGCCTTTGATTTTCCTTGTCCGTGAAGATGGCTGCTGCTCCAGGTCTTCGGAACAGCGTGAGTCGCGGTTCAAGGCGGGTTTTGTGAACGACATTTCGGAGTTCTGCTTACCTAGCATGCGTTTCGTTTTCTCTCACTAAATCTCTCGAGTCGTTTTCTCTCGCCAGGTGGTTAATTGCAGCGAGATCTGAATTCCATATGTCAAATCCCATATCCCACTGTTCCACTCCCAACAGGCTCCACTGGCAACGTTAGCGAATCTTTCCGTTGGTCTTTCTGCGCCACGTGTCGTTTCCGTAAGTGCTCTGAACAGCAGCGCACGCCTCGCAACAGTGGCCCGCGCTTATGACGTGAAAGGCGGCGGTGACAGTCAGGAGGACAGCAGCAACGGCACCAGACGCGGCAGGAGAAACAGCAAGAGTAGCAGAGTTAGCAGGAGAGAAACATCTGCCGACGGGGGTCGGGAAAACAATATGGCGGTCGGGGAAGTGACCGTTGGTTTGTCGGGAAAGCTGCCTGCTTACGGTCTCGGCAACGGAGTGGACTACGGCTTGGAGCACGACACGTGGCAGTGGGGCCCGGTAAGACCGCAACAGCAGCAGCAGCAGTATCAGCAGCAGCCGGCGTCGCCGCCGCAACCCCCGCCGCTTCAGCTGGGAGGTCTAGATCCTGAGGGCTGGCAGCCGTGGGGGGCTGATCGTCAGCAGTTGGTCGTCCAGCAGTCGCAATCGCTGTCGCAGACGTCGCAGCCGGCGTATGGCGTTTGGTCGTCGCGAAGCATGTACCCGCCTTCTCCATCGAACGTGCACCAGCAGCAGCATCAGCAGCAGCATCAGCAGCAGCACCAGTTTCCGTTGTCAATGCGGCAAAATTACCAGCCCCATCCCGAGCCTCCTGCGTCGCCGTCTCTGTCCCCTTCGCTCGGCCCTTCCCTGTCGCACATACGATCGCCATCCTTGTCGCCTGCGCTGTCGCCTGCACTGTCGTCGCGTTCAACGCCGCCGGCGTACTATCGCACGCGTTTGTCGGAGCCAGCTCAAGCGACACGTCAGCAGCAGCCCGACCTGATGTGGCATGACGTCATGGCAGAGCTGGTGCGCCGCGGGCAGCTGACGACAGCCGTTGATGTGTTGGAACAGGCCGTTGCTGACGGGACACAGTTCGAGCCGCTCTCCCCGCTCTCTCTATCCGAACAACCGAGCTCCACCGCCACGTCAGCAGATCCTCCCACCACGGCGGCTGTGCGCAGCCTGTTCGCGGCGCTCCAGAAAGCGGGCGGCCCGGCGGAGCAGGACAACTGGCAGCGCGAGGGGCGGCACCTATTGGGGCTCGCATCGCGCGCATTGGACGCTGTCTCGGCTGCTGGCTGGAGGTATGCTTCGGAGATCTCGCGGGATGGTGGATGGTGCGGAACGATCAGTGGTGGGCGGTGCGGGATGATTAGGCGTGAAGGGTGGTAGAATATGGGGTGTGGTTGACTCTGCCCATTGCATGGATCTCACCGTAAACCCTTCTGCCTGTCCCCATCCCTCCCAACCGTTTACTGCCCTCAGGGATCCTCTGCCGTTCACCTGTCTGATCACCATGCTCCAGCGCGCCTGCCGCTCGCACGAGCTGCTCTCATTGGTGGAGCGCATGCGCGCCCTAGACGTGCCCCTGGACGCTTACACGCTCACCACCGCACTCGGCGCCGCCATGCGCGTTGCTGACGTGGTTGCCGCTGAAGCCATCTGGGCCGAAATGACCGCCGCGAGTCGCGCCGGATCCGGCGGCGCTGGCGATGCTGCTGCTGGTGCAGCTGCCGCCGCCGCCCCATCTGCCGTCGCGTTCACGATGATGATGTCGCTGTACGGCCGTGCCGGCCGCCTCGACGACGCGCTGCGAATGTTCCGCGAAATGAAGGCCGCGGGAGTCGCGCCGGACGGCAAGACCTATTCCACCTTAATCGGCTCACTCGCGCGTGCGCTAAGAGCCGATGACGTCGAGGAATTAGTACATGAGATGACGGAGGGGGCTTCCGCCTCTCCCGCCGCCACCGGCGGCGCGTCTCCCTCGCAGCGCGTTCCGCCGTCGGTGTACACGAGCCTAGTCAGCATGTACGGGCGGCTGGGCCGGCTGGATGACGTGGCGCGCGTGCTTCGCGAGATGCGCGCGCGCAAGGCGCAGGCGGAGCAGAGCCTGTTCGTGGAGGCGGTGAAGGGGTGCACTGTGGCGCAGCGCAAGGCCACCGCCGCCGCCGTTGCCGCGCAACAGAGCGCGGGAAGCGGCGGAAAGCAGCAGATAAGCAAGCGTCTCGAGGAAGAGACGGGCGGCGGTAGCAGCAGTGGCAGTAGCAGCTGCGTTACGAGCAGCAGCAGCTCCAGCAGCCACGTCAGCATAGGAGGAAGCAGCAGCGGGAGCGACGACGGGAGTGATACTAGCAGTAGTGCTAGTAGCGAGGAGATCTGTGCCCGCTCCGTTAGTAGCACCAGCAGCGGAGCGGAGGGGGATGGGACGTCGGCGGCAGTGGCGCAAGCAGCAGGGGCGACGGCGGCGGCTGTGGCGGCAGTGGTGGCGGAAATGCGCCTGTTGGGCTGGCGCCCTGATCCCGCCCTCCTCCGTAATCTCCTCTCCGCGCCTTCCGCCCAGTCGTCCCTCCGCTCTTCCCCGCCCTCCCCGTCCGCGCAGGCAGGGGACGCGCCCGCGGAAGATGCAAGCGCAGGGGCAAGGGCGGGTGTGGGGGCAGCAGGGTTTGACAAGGGCGGGGAAAAGTCGAGGGGGACGGGGGCATGGCAGGTGCAGGCTCCGCAAGCGGGTGCGGGGAGTAGGGTGGGCGGAACGAGCGGAGGGGGAATGAAGGGACGGGGAGGGCAGCAATGGCGGGAAGGCAATGGCGGAAGAAACGGATGGGCGCAAGGCGGAGGCGGAGGCGGGGGAGGGGGAGACAGGGGAGGCGCGGCGGCCCCCGCCCAGTCCGAATACTCGTGGTTCTCGCGCATTCTGCAGTGCAAGCGGCAGAGGAACTTCCAGGAAGCAGCGCGGGTATACGAGCGCATGCGGGCGGCGGGAGTGAAGCCGCAGCAGCAGACGCTGAGCCTGGCGATGGAGGTCATGGGCGAGCTGGGCAACGTGCAGGGCGCTGAGCGCGCGCTGGAAGAAGCTGAAGCTGCTGGCACGCCTGTGGACATTGTAAGTTGGGCCTGCGGACTGTGAGAGTATGTCAAGCCTGTGTGCGGACTGTGAGAGTATGTCAAGCCTGTGTGCGGACTGTGAGAGTATGTCAAGCCTGTGTGCGGACTGTGAGAGTATGTCAAGCCTGTGTGCGGACTGTGAGAGTATGTCAAGCCTGTGTGCGGACTGTGAGAGTATGTCAAGCCTGTGTGCGGACTGTGAGAGTATGTCAAGCCTGTGTGCGGACTGTGAGAGTATGTCAAGCCTGTGTGCGGACTGTGAGAGTATGTCAAGCCTGTGTGCGGACTGTGAGAGTATGTCAAGCCTGTGTGCGGACTGTGAGAGTATGTCAAGCCTGTGTGCGGACTGTGAGAGTATGTCAAGCCTGTGTGCGGACTGTGAGAGTATGTCAAGCCTGTGTGCGGACTGTGAGAGTATGTCAAGCCTGTGTGCGGACTGTGAGAGTATGTCAAGCCTGTGTGCGGACTGTGAGAGTATGTCAAGCCTGTGTGCGGACTGTGAGAGTATGTCAAGCCTGTGTGCGGACTGTGAGAGTATGTCAAGCCTGTGTGCGGACTGTGAGAGTATGTCAAGCCTGTGTGCGGACTGTGAGAGTATGTCAAGCCTGTGTGCGGACTGTGAGAGTATGTCAAGCCTGTGTGCGGACTGTGAGAGTATGTCAAGCCTGTGTGCGGACTGTGAGAGTATGTCAAGCCTGTGTGCGGACTGTGAGAGTATGTCAAGCCTGTGTGCGGACTGTGGCTCCAGCCAACCAGTCCAGCAGGGCTCACGAGCTCACGCACGCACTCGCTCACACACTCACTCAACCCACATCCTTCCCTACCCCACCCCACCTGCCATTACCGCGCGCCACCCCACCAGGTGTGTTTCAACACGCTGCTGAACGTGTACGCCAAGGCAGGGAAGTCAAGCAAAGCGCAGGCAGTGTTCACCCGCATGCAGGGGGCAGGGGTGACGCCCAACACGCGCTCATACACCGTGCTGCTCAAAGCACTCTCCAAGGACGGCCGCGGCAAGGAGGCTGTTGCTGCGTTCCGAGCCATGGAGCGTGGCGGCTGCCATTTGGATGAGGTGAGCTGTCATGGCAACTCCTTTGTCTTTTTGTTTGTTTGTTTGTTCTTGCAGTTGTCTTGTTTAGTTGTTTCGTTTTGACTCCTGGTTTTTGGCCCTAGGAGAAGAACCTCAGGTGCGAGGGTATCCTCCAACGGTACACTGACTCCACAGGGTGTCTTACATTTCTTATCCTGCAATGCTTCTTGGCCCTTCTCCCCGTCCCCCTCCCCAGATCGCCTACAACACGGTGATCAACGCGTGTGGCAACGACCTCCCAGTGGACGAGACCCTCCGCCTGCTCCGCGCCATGCGCCGCAGTGGCTACCGCCCGAACCTTGTCACCCGCAACCTGGTCCTCTCGCTCCTGGTCAAAGCCGGCCGCACGGCGGACGCCAGCGAGCTGTTTGAGGAAGCCAGGGCAGCGGGCGAGGAGGACGCGTTCATGTACTGCACCATGGCGCATGCGTTCGGGCGGCGGAGGGAGCTGGAGCGCATGGAGGGCGTGCTGGGGGATGCGGCTGCGCGAAGGATGGTGTCGCTGCCGCTGCTGAATGCGTGCATGGACGCGTATGGCAAGGCAGGGCTGCTGGCGAATATGGAGACCTGCCTGGCGCGCATCCGCTCGTTTGACTTTGTGCCCAACCACACCAGGTAGGTTGAGGGGTTGGGTGGACTGGTAGTATGTGTGTGGGTGGGTGTGCTGTTGCCTGTGCTAGTGACTGCCGCTGCTCAACGCGTGCGGACGCGTATGGCAAGGCAGGGCTGCTGGCTAATATGGAGTGCGGATTCGCTCGTTTGACTTTGTGCCCAACCACACCAGGTAGGTTCGAGTCCCCCCCTGTCTTCACTTTTCCCCTGCAGCCCTTCTCCCTCTTTGGACCTGCAGATTCAACATTGTGTGACCTGTCTTCTCGTTCCTTCCCCCGACACAAGCATGACCCGCCCGCTCCCACCCCTCTCCCACCCCTCCGCCCGCTTTCCCAAACCAGTTTCAACATAGTGATCCATGCATACGGCATGGCGGGAATGATCCCTGAGATGGAGGACGCACTAGCCCGCATGAGGCGCAGTGGCCTGCGCCCTGATGTGTACTCGTACAACATCCTCATCGGCGCCTATGGCGACGCGGGCATGCCATGGGCATCAGTGAGCATGGTGCAGCACATGCACGCTGAGGGACTGCTGCCCGATCAAGTCACCTACCAGAACCTGGTCTCGGCGTTTGAGAGAGCCGGTGACTTCCTGGAAGCTGCACGCTGGTCGCTGTGGATGAAGCAGGCTGGGTTTTCTCCCTCTGGTGAGTCCCACTGCCTGTCCCCACTTCCTGGCTTCCTCACCTCACTCCCACACTAGCCGTGTATGGGAATGCAGGCATGCCCACTAGCCGTGTATGGGAATGCGAGCATGCCCACTAGCCGTGTATGGGAGTGCGGGCATGCCCACTAGCCGTGTATGGGAGTGCGGGCATGCCCACTAGCCGTGTATGGGAGTGCGGGCATGCCCACTAGCCGTGTATGGGACCAGGTTCTGGTAGGTGACCTGATCCGGCAGCAGCCCCTCTTGTGCACCTCTTGTGCCCCTCTTGTGCGCCTCTTGTGCCCCTCTTGTGCCCCATCAGCAAAGCAGCTAATGGCTCAGCAATTCCATCACTGATTTTTCCCTGCCTGCCCCCTCCCTCTCCTCCCTACTCCCTCCCTGCAGCACCCAGCAACAGCAGTTGTGTGAGTAATGATGGCGGCAACGCTGGTGCCAGTCGCAGCAGTGGCAGCAGCGGGGCCAAGAGTGCAGCAGGGAGCACCTCGAACCTGCCAGGAGCAGGGCAACTGCCATCCGACCTGCTGTGACTGACACGAGACGGGCTGTTGGCTTTGGAGAAGCCTCGAAGGCTGCAACAGGAGAGGAAGAGCACTCATTGAATGTGCTGGGATGGGATTGGATGGGCCGTCAGTGTGCCGTCATCAGGATAGTTCACAGCCCCTCCAGCTGGACATGATGGGTCACCCCTGTCATCAAGAGGGTGGAGAGGCAGCCTTTGTGGAAGAGGGTTTGGGTGGAGACCACCCCAAAGGCTGTCTCTCTGCTAGACGATCACTCCACAGGGTTAGTTAGTTGGGCTGGAGCATCAGTGAAGTGCGTAGAAGGTATAGCAGCACTGTACGGTAGGAGCGCGACTCCTCGTCGTGCAAGGTATAGGGCGACATGCCGACCCTAGGCTTAGATGAAATAAGAGCGCTGGTGTGAGGGTTTCAAACCTGCCTCTCTGCCTTGCTGTGTTGCCTGTCTGTAGGCCTTGTTGGCCTGCCTGTGTTGATTTTCTTCCTTCGTGGCTTTCCATTTCTTTGTTTTGCATCTCCAGTATCCTGCTGTTGCCCCTTTGTTCCTCAGCCTCCCTGCTTCTACTCTCCTGCTCCCTCTTCCTGCTCTGCCTGCCTCTCTTGGCAACAATTGAGCTGCCATACTGTAGAATTTGCTTGCACAAGCAGTAGAGAATCTAGGTAGGCTAGACTACATTAGAGGTTTTACATGGTGATGTACTTGTTTCAAGTAGAAGAAAAGTGTTCCCTGGCTTTTTGTTTGTTAGCTCACATCAGCCAAGAAACCGAATAATAATCTCAAAAGATCATCTATTCAAACCAAACTATTTATGTACTACAAGACTGTACACATACAAACCAAGTTGGCATCTTAAGTGTCGGTATAACTACCTTCTACTGGTAAGCTACCTCTATAGTCTACTGTAGGTGTTTCACTGTATTCCTACCACCTCAAACCTTCCTACATTTCCTCCACTTCCACCAAAAACCACCAGTCTCCCTACCTCGCACCCGCCTGCCCACCTCCGCAGGTATGGCAGGGCACATGCCCAGTATCATCACAATGTGAGCATATCCTCATGCCATAACTCGTCACCACCTTGTGGTTACCACCGCACTGCCGGCACGTAACCACCTTGCTACCCCCACACGTCCCACACCCTGTCTTCCCCGCATCATCATCAGTGGTCGGCAACCCTTGGACTAACTCAGCAAGAAAGTAATCATCATACATCTGGAGCACAGTATCGGCATCTCCAATGTAGCGGCCGCAGATGAAGAGGCGGGGAACGGAGCCGGCTGCGGCTGCTGCTGCAGGGGTTGCTTCTCCGGGTGCCATGAGTGTTTTGAGCTCTTGCCTGTAGGAGACGCGCATGGAAATGTCTCGCTCCTCGTACACCACTCGTAGGGCCTGCAGGGGGGAGGTGTGGAGAGAAGGAATGTAAGAAAGTAATCATCGTACATCTGGAGCACAGTATCAGCGTCGCCGATGTAATGCCCACACATGAAGAGCCCGGGAACAGAGCCCGGGAACAGAGCCCGGGAACAGAGCCCGGGAACAGAGCCAGCAGTGTTTTGAGTCGACTCAAAACACACAGAGCCAGCTGCTGCCGCTGCGGCTGGAGAGGCTGCGCCGGGTGCCATGAGCGTTTTGAGCTCCTGGCGGTACGAGACGCACATGGAGATGCCCCTCTCCTCGTACACCACTCGCAGGGCCTGCAGGGATGTAGGGGGGAAAGTGTGATTGAGGCGCCTACTGGACAATGCCGCCCTCCCAATAGGCCATCGTAAGGGCCTGCAGGCGAAGGTATGAGGTGGCGGGTCTCGTTTATTGGCATCAGGTTGGCACATGGCGAATGGCAGATGGCGCATGGCAGATGGCACATGGCAGATGGCGCATGGCAGATGGCGCATGGCAGATGGCGCATGGCAGATGGCGCATGGCAGATGGCGCATGGCAGATGGCGCATGGCAGATGGCGCATGGCAGATGGCGCATGGCAGATGGCGCATGGCAGATGGCGCATGGCAGATGACGCATGGCAGATGGCGCATGGCAGATGGCGCATGGCACCTGGTGAAGAAGAAAGAATATGCCATCGGAAAACAAACAGGCCATCCATCGTACCTGCAGCACGTTCTTCACTTTGACGCAGTCCTCAAAAGTTTTCCTTACTGCCCGAAGTGTGGTGGTATACACCACCACTGCGTCTACCCCGCCCGGCGGGCAGCGCTGTTCGAAACTTTCTAGCAGCTGAGACCTAGGAGGAGGGGGAGGGGGTCCAGGGGGGACAACCGGCTTTGCTTCTACTACTGCCTCCTCCTCTTGTGCTGCTGCACCCGCCTCCTTCCCTGCATCACCTGCCGCCTCTCCTGCTGCAGCGTTTGCCCCTTTCTCCTCTGCCGCAGCACCAGGCTTGGCAGACTCAGCGTCAGCTGCATTAGCAGAGGCCACAACAGCAGCCACCCATTTTCCTCGCACCCCTCCGGCACCACCGCCAGCAGCAGCAGCAGTAGCCGCAGCGCCACCAACCGCACCAGCAGCTGCGGCAGCAGCAGCAGCAGCAGCGGCATCAGCAGCCGCGGCTGCTTCCAACTGGGCAGCCAGTCTCGCAACAAGCCCTCCCTTGATACCCTTCCTTTCCTTCTCCACTGCCGCTCCCCTCGCCCCCTCTGCGTCTGCTGCTGCAGCCATAGCAGCAGCCGACAGAGGGGCGGCAGCAGCAGGAGCAGCAGCGGGAACAGTAGTAAGAGGAACAGATGGAGGAGCAGAAAGAGTGTTGACGGCAGCAGAAGAAGACGCAGGTTCAACACGAGAAGAGGCGCTAGCTTTACCAGCAGTCCCCAATTTGAGAGGTTCTGGTGAGATGCTCCCTCCAAGTGCTGCTGCTGCGACTGCTGCAGCTTCAGTTCTCGATCGCTCTGTAAGTGGTGCTGCCTGCACTGCAGTTGCCGGGTGTGATGCATGCGCTTGCATGTGCTGTGCTGCTGCTGATGTGTCTTCTTTTGGCGCTGCCGCTACTGATGCTGATTGTGCCGCCACTCGTGTTTTTGCTGGTGTTGTCCCTGGTGCTAGTGCTGCTCCTGTTGCTGCCACTGCTGGTGGCTCTAATGCTGCTGGTGCTCTTGCAACATCAACCCTACCACTGCCAACCCTGCCACTCTCACTCCTGCCACCATAAACCACACTGTCAACCCTACCACCATCAAAGCTTCGTCTCACAGCACTGGGATCCGTCACCTGTCGCAGTGAGGGGCTGCTCACCCCGCCGCGCAAGCTGCCCTGCCTGGGACTCGCCACTCTGCCCGCCCCCCCTGCCAGCGATACACTGCCCCTGCCTGGCAGTGCTGGAGTTGATGCACTCGCTGATGCACTCGCTGATACGCCCATCCCACCTGCTGTCATGCCTGCAGGCCGTGGGCTGGGTTGCCCTATTCCCACGCCCCTGCGCATGGGACTAACCCTACCGCCCACCAGAGCAGCGTGCATGGGACTAACCCTACCGCCCACCAGAGCAGCGTGCATGGGACTAACCTTACCGCCCACCATAGCAGCCTGCATGGGACTAACTCTGCTGTTTGCCACGGAAGGATGCATGGGGCTGGCAAGGGGGGTGATTCGCTGCCAGTCCGCTGCACTGTGCTGCTCCAAAGCCGCTTCCATAGCCTCCAGTAAATCCGGGTCGAATAGGAAATCGCCCACATCCACTCCCGCTCCCTCTCCCGCTCCTCCTCCCTCTCCCTCTCCCTCTTCTTCTTCCTCCTCCTCTCCCTCTTCCTCGTCCTCCTCTTCCTCCTTCCCCTTCCCCTCCTCAGCTTCTTGGTTGTTCCTGTTTGACCCTTGTTCTGGCACTCCCTCCTTCCTGGCAGCTTCCTTTCCTGCCCCCGGATCTGCAGCAGCACCTGTAATAGCAGCATGCATACCAGCACTCGCATGCGCCCTAGTGCCTGCACCTTCCACTCTGCCCTCTGGAGGCTCACCTGTGCGACCTGACTTTTGAGGCGCCTCAAAAGTCGTGCCAGCACTCGCATGCACTCTACTGCCTGCACCTTCCACTCTGCCTTCTGGAAGCTCGCCTGTGCGACTTGAACGCCCGCCCGTGCCTCCTGATTGCGCGTATGTGCCTGCCACAATGGCGGCAATGGCTGCGGCATCGTCAACAGAGTTTGCTGTTGCGTCATCTGCTGCTGCTGCGTCATCTGCTGCTGTTGCGTCATCTGCTGCTGTTGCGTCATCTGCTGCTGTTGCGTCATCTGCTGCGGTTGCTCTCTTTGCACCCGCTCCCACAGCATCAGAGCGCGTGGCAGTGCCAGCACCAGCAGCAGCGCCCGCACCAGCAGCAGCGCCACCATCACCAGCATCAGCACCACCCACAGGTGCTGCAAGGGCCGAACCAGCAACATGGACCACCCCTACACCAGCAGCAGCACCACCCACAGGTGCTGCCGCCCCCTGCCCTCCACTGCCACTCGCATCAGCCCCTGCAGCACCCTTCGCTCCTTTCTTCTTCTTTGTCTTCTTGGGAGTCTTCTCCTCTCCTTCCTTCGTCCCCTTCACCCCCTTCTTCTTTTTCTTCTTCTTCTTCCCTGTCCCCCCTCCCGCCGCTGCTATTCCAGTAATCCCTTCCCCTTCCCCTCTGCCTGTCTCTGCTCCTCCACCTCCCCCGCCCTCCTCATTCCCATCCAGCCCGGTCCCTTGGTCAGGGAGTAGGTTCAGCAGCAGCTGCTCCAGCGTCTGCTGGTACTCCCTCTCCCTGCGAAGGTCCTCTTCAAAGCTAGCCAGAACATCTGGATCGAAAATGAACTCCTCTGCACCGTCTTGCAAACCGTCTGCCATGTCAGCCCACTCACCTCCGTCCAAACCGGAAGCACCTGACAACTCTCCATTTTCCGCGTCCACGTCAGCACCGTCTCGCTGGTTTTCCGCGTCCAAGCCATCATCCCTCGCTGCTCCCTGAGTCGTTGCTTCTCCACCCTGTAATGCCTTCGCTGCCAAGGCGTCCCCTACTACAACCACAGCTGCTCCGTCAGCTGCTCCGTCAGCTGCTCCGTCAGCTGTTCTGTCAACTTCTCCGTGAACTGCTCCCTCAGCTGGCTCATAATTTCTCATAAAATCACCGTCTCTCTCTTCCCTGTCATCACCTGGCGCGGGTTGCTTCGATTCCACCTCTCCATCTCTTATCGCACTTGCTCCTGCCTGCTCCTCCTTCCCCTCCTCCTCCGCCGCCGTTGCCGCAGCTGCCGGATCCCGCTTATTCGGTTTCCCATGCATACTCACAGTCTTCGCTCGACCCTTTCCTCTGGACTGTCCGCGCCGCTCTTTCGTCGACGAAGCGGCACCATCGCCGTCGACGCGACTGCGGGGATCGGGCTTTGACTGGATGCATCCCATTTGGCGCGAATCGAGTGACTTCACGTACTGCGCGCGAGACGCGTCAGCTTACAGATCATTTGAGACGAGGCAAGGATTGCGAAATTCGGAACGCATCCCATTCGGCAGGTCAAGTGCGTAGGGCCAGCTCACTTTTTTGCGTTTAGCAGGACAGTTACTGACATTCTGACGTATGCATTTCGTAGGGCCGGGAAACGAACGGCGTGAAGCATCAAGACACAGATAGTAGAGGGTATGTACGGTGGATACTGGAAGTGGTATGCGCAAAAGTCTGGGGAAACAATTTCTGTACGAGAAATAGCTACGGAATCGCGTGAGTAAGGAGTTTCCCTTGGCAGAGCTCTGAGCTTGTAGAAGCAACAGGCAGCCTGGCAGCACAATTTGGGAATGTGTGAATTGGGAAAGAAGCTGATTGGCGGGCAGCGCGTCAGGAAAATCCCGAGCCCCGTTTTTCCATGGTCACCACAAGTTTGGAGGGAAACTCGTGACAATTCCGAGGGAGGAAAGCAGAAGTCTGAACAGTTGCACTGACGTGCTCACTGACAGCCCCTAGGTCTATCAGCAATGGTAACTCAGCGAGTCAAACTAGACGAAGAGTTTTGCGACATCCACGACATACAAACGACAGGGAAAGACAAGGTTTTTCGTTCGTCGCGTGGAGGGTTCTGCTTCAACTCGTCACGAACACGTCTCGTCAGAACATTTTCCCAGGAAACCGTACCGGACCATCTTGTTACTACCACAACCGTTCTGTAACGTAAGTAAACGTACCAGAGTACATGAAGAACCATGATTTGAACACCAAAACACCCCTCGAGAATGCATCAGTGACTGAAGCGCCATGGACCAATTTTTGCCTTGAGAGTTTCGTGAAGATAGTTGATCCATCAAGTTATGAATAAACCGCGACAAGTAGTCGCTGCTTACTCGATTCCATGAATTAATGTTTTTGTTGCCGTGCTCGGTTCTCTTTCGAAAAGCATCAGTGGGTCCCACAGGCTAGCAACGTCACATTTTTTTTCCACCTTTTCAGCAATGGGCCTTGAGAGCGACTGCGTGCGCGCACTTCTTCCGTGAAACATCTTCGCAGAGAGACGAGCTTCGCAAATGCTGTACAGGAACGTTTGAAGCGAGATGGCACTTCACGCTGCTGACGACTTCGCACTGCTGCAGCGATCTAGGAAGTTGCCGTCAGTCCGATGCGTTACGGATCGCAATGAAAGTAAACAGAACGCGGCTGGTCGAGCCATGCCTCCTATCAAGTCGAACCGTAAGCGAGTCAGGACATCTGACAAGCCAAACGGCGGCGGCGACGAGCCCCATTGCGAGGCCACGCCAAGCAGACGGAGAGGAAAAGGACGATCAGCGGGGAATGGATCTCAGGATGCTAGCAACGGTAACGATCCGCGAAACGATTCCCCATCACTGGCGGCAACGGGGAGTACGACGGAGACAACACCAATTGCGAAAGTCAGATCGGTTTCACTGCAGCTTCTTCTGACAGATGCTCAGCGCGCTGCTGCTTTTCACGATCCCAGCGTCCCACTGCTCGTCGTCGCTGCTGCTGTGAGTGGGATACAGACGCCATGACTTGCTAGTGCTGCAAGTTCACTCTTGATTTATACGTGTACAGTCACTCGCAACCTCTGTGCACAGTCACTCGCTGCATTGCATATCCGTTCTTTGAGTATAATAAACGCGAATTGATGAGTCTATGGTGGAGTCCTTTCAGCTGACAACCAACTCAGCTCACCTCAGCTTGTGCTTCGCTTCGCCTAACATGCTTGTGTCTCATCATGCTTGTGTCTCATCATGCTTGTGTCTCATCATGCTTGTGTCTCATCATGCTTGTGTCTCATCATGCTTGTGTCTCATCATGCTTGTGTCTCATCATGCTTGTGTCTCATCATGCTTGTGTCTCATCATGCTTGTGTCTCATCATGCTTGTGTCTCATCATGCTTGTGTCTCATTATGCTTGTGTCTCATCATGCTTGTGTCTCATCATGCTTGTGTCTCATCATGCTTGTGTCTCATCATGCTTGTGTCTCATCATGCTTGTGTCTCATCATGCTTGTGTCTCATCATGCTTGTGTCTCATCATGCTTGTGTCTCATCATGCTTGTGTCTCATCATGCTTGTGTCTCATCATGCTTGTGTCTCATCATGCTTGTGCGTCCACGCGTCTATGTGCTTTCAGGGCTCGGGAAAGACTTCAGTGATCTGCCACCGCATCATACACCTTATATCCCAGGTAACACCCACATTTTCGATTCTTAATACAGCAAACAGAACAATTACGAATGTGAATCTCTACAGCCTACGCTGATGCTCCAGTCCAGATCGCTGCAGCTCAAATAGTCAACGCATCTGTAGTTGTAACTGTCTAGCTCGTTTTCTCTGAACGCTACAGTGCACTACTGAATAAGTGTGTCCTTTTCCTCTCTCCATTCTCTTCCCCATGCTCCCTTCCATCCCTCTCCATCTCTCTCTATTGTTCCAGGGTGTCCCTCCCAATGAGATCCTCGCAGTCACAGTGAGTCACGGTACCACAGGTTGAGTCAAATGCATGTCCGCAATGTTCCAGCCTTTGATGCTCGCCTTGAAAAAATCGCTACTCAATCTTCAGTTTCTGTTTAATGCCGTTTCCATTAGTGCATCTCTGTTTCATGTTTTCCAGAATGGTGATGTTGGTCTGCAAGCTGGTCGCTGGTCTCTCTTTTCCCTTTCGCCTCCTCCTCCTCCCACGCCTCTTTCCCCCCTCCCCCTCCTCCTTCCCATTTCCTTCCCCATCTGGTCCCTCTGTTATGACCCTATGTGTCCAATCTACGTCCACTCCCAAAACGTGTTCCCTCTCCTGCAGTTCACGAGGCGAGCGGGTCAGAGCCTAAGGCACCGACTGCACCAACTCGCAGCAGCAATGGAAGCACCTCGCTCCAACAACGCACAACTCTGCACTGATGTTTCCACCAGAGCTGCTGCCCGACCCTCATCTGGATCTGCAGCAGCGGTGGCAGCAGTAAGTGCAGCAGCGGTGGCAGCAGTGCGCATCTCCACCTTCCACTCCTTCTGCCTGCAGACCCTCAGGCAGTTTGCGCACCTGGCGGGCCTGCCTAAGGACTTCACCGTCTTCCCTCCCAAGATGCAGGTCCGCGCCCACTCCATGCCTCCCCATCTGCTCCGACACCATTCTGTCCCGTCCATTCTGGTCGACCTTCTTCAATCTGCTCCAATGCTTTTCCTCTTTTGTAGCCTAGATTTCCCCCTCAAGATGCAGGTCAGCGTCTAATTTTGTCTTGTACTAATCTGCGTTAAACAGCCTAGTTCACTCTTACCTCGTGCATGTAATGCGTGCAGGCAGAGACGTTGATGGAGCTGCTGCAGGAGTGGGCGGAGAGGAAGGCTGCAGAGGCAGGGGAGAGGGAAGGAGAGCATGGGGCCAGTCGAACAAGTGTGCCATCAGGCAAGAAAGTAAGCAGCACTCCCTCCTGTTCTCGTCTCTGGTCTCCGAGAAATGGTCCTGAATGAGTGTTTATGTGAAACCTGAGTAATACGCTCCTGATTTGCTTCTGTCTGTTGGCACTTATTTGCTTCTGTCCATTATCGTTTCTTGACTCGATATCTTTCGTTCACCACCGCACCCCACTCCATCCCCACCGCACTTCACCACACTGCACCACACATCCTACCAGCTGCACTTCATCATCCGCCGCTTCCTGCACGAGTTTGGCCGCCTGGAAGCCGAGAACGCGGCCATGCAGGTGCTGCAGGGGTCACGACCACTGCACCAGCCAGCAGCAGCAGCGGCAACCTCATCGCCAGCATCGAATTCAGCTCCAGGTACTGCTGCTTCTGGGGCGAGCGGTCGTGCTGCTGCTGTGAATCATGGCGGCGTGCAGAGAAGGAGGCGGGTATCGTTTGGAGGAGACAGTGGTGGTGGAGGAGGGGAGGGTGATGAGGATGGCGGGCTGTTTGCGTGGCTGTGGGAGCAGTACCGCCGCCGCCTCGTGCTCAACAAGGCCGTCGACTTCTCCCAGTTCGCCCCGTGAGTTACATGTGATCTTCACGTGACTTTTGAGTCCACTCAAATGTCACTTCGTACCGCCGCCGCCTCATGCTCAACAAGGCAGTCGGCTTCTCCCAGTTCGCCCCGTGAGTTACACAGCAGGTTTACAATCTGTGGTTCAGCTGTAAACTCCTCTTTCACGACAAACTAACACACTTTTCTCCTCCCCTTCTCTCCATTTCAAAACATAATCACGGCCCCTTTCTGTGCCATTGTGTTGGTGTGTGGCAGCAAGGCGGTGAAGTTGCTGCACGCACATCCAGAGATACTCGCATCGAGCAGCGTGAGCAGCAGCAGCAACAGGGAGCACGTGGGTAGCAGAGCCCGCACTGCTGCAGCTGCAGCTTCGTCCAGGAGTCACCTGCGTGTGTCGCATGTGCTCGGTACGACTCTCACCATCTCTTCGTCTTCTGTTAGATCTCAGCTTCCGTTAGATCTCAGCTTCCGTTAGATCTCAGCTTCCGCTTCCTGATTGTCAACACCTCACTCATCCCCCATCCCTCGTCCTGCTATCCATCTCCTCCGCCCCTCACCCAACTGTCTGTATGGAACCCATCCAGGCCATCCCCCCTCCCTGTCCGACTTCTTCCCTAGTTATCTTTCCTTTCCGCTCCACCACCCCTCCCCACCTCCACCCCAACACGCGCCAGTGGACGAGTTTCAGGACACTGACAGCTGTCAGATGGAGCTGCTTCTGCTGCTCTGCCGCCCGCTGCCGTCCGCACCGACCCTGACCCTCGTGGCCGACGACGACCAGCAGATCTATTCCTTCCGTGGCGCCATGGGCCTGCCGAACCTGCGCCGCTTTCTCCGAACCTACCCGCAGGCTCGGACGGTCTGCCTCGACCAGAACTTCCGAAGCTGCGGCTCGGTGGTAGAGGCCGCCCGCCACGTCATCGCTCACAACCAATGGCGGCACGCCAAATGGATGGTCACAGCAGCGCCAGTGGGACCGCTTGTCTCCTTATGCGAGTGCCGCACGGATCGGTGCGAGGCGGCAGCTGTGGTCGGCAAGATCTGTCATCTAGTGGGGTCATGCGGGGTGCCGGCGAATCAGATTGCAATACTGTACCGTGTGCAGGCCGTGGGAAAGGTGATTCGGCAGTATCTGAAGAGCCATGGGATCAAGGTGTCTTCTGCTGCAACTGGAGGAGGGGGAGCAGGAGGCTTTGGAGGTGGAGGAGGGGGAGGAGGAGGAGGGACGGCAGGAGGAGGGGAATGGGGAGCAGCAGAGGAGGATGGGGTAGCAGTAGCTGCAAATGGTTTCATAGCAGAGGGGGGTAACAGTGCGATGGCTGGAGCTAGGGGAGGGAGGGGGACGGGGACAGTAGGAGCAGTTTTCCATGATATCCTGGCACTCCTGCGATTGGCTGCCAATGAATCGGATGACGTGGCATGTCGGCAGGTCCTGCGCTTTGTGTGTCCGCCGCCCACCCGCCAGGTGGCGATCTGTCTGCGCACACTACAGTGCGCCCCGCACCGCATCTCCCTCCTGCCTGCCGCCCGCATGACTCGTCTGCACCTCCTCGGCATCTCCCGCTGCGCCGCCCTCTCCAACGTGTCTTCTACCAACCCCTGCGGTGCTACTAATGGATCAGCGGGCAACAGCAGTGCTTATAACGGATCACACTCTACCCATGCACACAACGCAGCCGACCCTGCATGGCCCCACACGCTCTCACCAGACGACACGGAGGTCCTAGAGGGGATAAAAAAGATGGCTGCAGCAGTATCGGAGCTGCAAGGTCTCCTGGGCATCCCCCCGCCTGGCTGGTCTTCTACCCCTGCTCCTGCCTCCTCTGCTCCTGCCTCCTTCGCTTCTCCCTCTGCTTCTCGCCCCCCTGCAAGCAGGAGGAGAGGCAGTGCTGCTGGGATCATGGGTCAGGGTGGTGGGCCCACGTCCTTACCTGCGATTTTCCACGGAGAAGGAGGAGGGGAGGAGGAGGAGGATGGGGTGTCCTGTGAGGCTTTGGTGAGGTGTGCACTTCGGTTTGTACGAGCAGTGAGGGGTGGGGAGGGGCGGAGTGGGGCGGGGGTTGGGGCGGAGGTGGTGGTGCAGGGGGTGTTAGGGGGCGGCGGGGGAGGGGGAGTGGTCGGAACGGTTGGTGGAGGAAGGGGAGTTGGTGGGACGGGTGGAGGAGGGTGGGGAGGTGGGCGTGGGATGGGGGGACAGGGGGGAGGCGCAGGTGCGTTGGATCCAGCCATGTTTGCCGGTGTGAGAGCTCTGCTTCTAGAGGCTGCGGCTTTTGACAAGGAGAGGAGGCATATGCGGCAGGCGATGCAGGCGAGAGTAATGAGTGCTGCAGCAGAAGTGGCGTCAGCAGCAGGAGCAGCAGCAGGAGGAGAAGCAGCAGGAGGGGCTGCTCTGAGGAAAGCAGCTGAAGGAGCAGAAGCAGTGAGGGGAATGGGGTTGGGAGATGTGCCAGGAAGGGTGGTGTCAGGGTGTGATGCGGGGAGCGAAAGAAACAACAGCGGCAACGGTAACAGCAGCAGCGGAATTAGCAGCAGCGGAATTAGCAGCAGCAGGCACATGGCCAATCCAGGTGGCTACTTCTCCCCAGCTACCACCCCTGTGAAAGACCGCTACAGTCCGGGCGGCAGCAGTGAGAGCAAGCAGGGTGGCAGGAGGCCGAGCTATGCGGACCTGCTGCTGCAGCGTGAAGGAGTGGTGGGAATGGTGGGCGGCAGTGGAATGGCACAGGGAATGGGGCTTGCTCGATGGTCCAATGCTGCAGGGGCTAGCACCGCAAGGCAAGCTGAGTTTGAGAGACGGATGGGGAGGCAAGGAGAGGTGGACTTGCACGATCCCAGTGCTGGTGCTGGTGCTGCTGGGTACATTCGTGGTGATGGTATTGATGGTGAAAATGGGAACAGAGAGGGGGAGGTGGAGAGGGAAGGTGAGGAGGAGGGGGAGGAGGGGGAGGTAGTGGTTCAGTTTGTGGATCGAGTGATGGAGAGAGTGCATGAGAGGGAGCTCGGGGTGGGTGTGGAGGAGGGGTTGGGAGGGGTGGGGGACAGTGCTGGTGAGAGAGAGAGTGCGGGGGGACGTGGGGGTAGGCGAGCAGGGAGGGGGGGTGACGGGAAGGGGCGGGGGAGTGGGGGGAGGGAGAGTGAGCAGGAGAGCGGGGGAGTGGTGCTGAGCACGATTCACCAGGCCAAGGGGTTGGAGTGGCAGGCTGTGATTGTAGTGAGGGCGAACGAGGGCGTGCTTCCACTGGTGGACTTCAGTAGAGTCACACACACCCCTGCCACTGCCACCACCACCAACTACTCGCCCACGCCCCAAACCCTACCACCAACAACAACGAAAACGACAGCAGAAGCAGCGGCAGCAGCGACGGTGGCCGCACAGGGGGCAGGAGGGGCAGTGGGAGGAAGAGAGGGGTGTGGGCGTGAGAGTGGGGTGCGGCCCCTTCCTCCTCTGCCTGCCATGCCCCCGGACTATGACGCTCAGTTGGAGGAGGAGGTAAGCCGAGATATTTGAAACTTTTAAGAATCATGACTTCTCGAAAACTGAGACGTCTCAAAGTTTGAAACTTTTCCAGCCTGCCAGGCCCCCAGTCTAGGACGCTGAGCTTGAGTAGGAGGTGTGTGGGGCGTGTGCATGTGTTTTCTGGGAATGTACGTGTGCATGGATTCATCTGTCTGTGCATCACATGTTCCCTGCATCTGCATCACATCACACATTCCTTCCTCAATGCATCTGCATCTTCCCTGCATCTGCATCATCCCTGCTTAACTGCATATTCCCTGCATGTGCCCCACTAATCCTCTCCTCATCGCAACAGAGGAGGCTCATGTACGTGGCGCTCACCAGGGCACAGCAGCATCTCATGGTGAGTGTGCACACCTGCACTCCACCTTCCCTCCACCCATGCGTCACTCACAGAGCTCACTGAAGGCCGAGTTGACTGTCCAACTAGTCACTCATTTTGCCTGGTATCAGACTGCCCATTTCTCCTGCTCCTCTTTTCTGAACATGCTCCACCTGTACTGCTTTTTCATCGGCTCAGGTCACTCATGTGATGTCTGCTTCGGGCCAACCAATGCTGCCATCCAGATTCCTCGCAGAGCTCCCTCCGTGTAAGCAATTTATCACCAACCTAAGTGATCTGAACGTGTGTACGCATTTTTGTACTAATATGAATGAATCCCGTTCAGTTGATCCTTGTAGACCTGACATGCCTCTCCTCTACTCATCAACCTATCATACCATCTGATAGTGTGCTTACCCTGCCATCGAATATGCAGCTGCGGTGTATCGCACAACTCAGTACGACGAGAGGCCTACCAATCATGTGCAACAGTTCGTGTCGCAACCATCACCCTAGATTATGATGTCTTGGATATCACAGTCACATAATTCACTTCAAGCACTTTCTTGCTCTCAAATCCATTTCTTTGGAGGATATAAGGACTTGTGTACCAAAAATGTGAAGGATGCACAGTGGCGTGATGGGCATGAGATTTTTTTTTTTTTTTTTTCAGTAAACAGATTCTGCACGGCTCTCTCGATTCCTGAATGACCGAACGTAAAAGCGATGCGTTTTTTAACAGGTCCAGTAATTTGCCCCTTACAATGCTTCCCCACGGCTCTTGGGATGCATTGCCAAAACAGGCCTTCGAGATCCAAGCCTTGTTTCTGTTCTGCTTGTGAGCGGGGAGTCCTACCATGCCGTCTGTCCAATGCCGTTTCTGCACATTGACGTTTTCTTCCAATGGCGCTGCTTATGATCACGAGGAGTCGGCTCATTATCCCCAATATACATGTCCCTTGTGCGATAGGGGCTTCGACTCAGTCGCAGGGCTTAGACATCACCAGACAGTCAAACACCCGATAGGAGTTTCATGTAGATTTTGTCATTTTCGCTTCGATTCTGTTCAGTCCGCCATTGCTCATGAGCTGGACCAACACAAATTCTACGTTTCCTGCAGGTTGTGCTCTCAGCGCTTCCAGTCGATAGAGGAGGCCGCGGCTCATGAGCTAAGGTCGCACGGCTTCTTAGCGACTTGCCGGTTCTGTAACCAGTCATTCAGTTCGGAGGAAGCTGTACGCCAGCACGAGGCGAGCGTTCATCAGCCAACGGTGAAGTGCGAATTATGTGGCTTGTTTTTTAATGACCAGGAAGCAGCATGGGATCACGCCGACGACTCACACTCCAGGGATTATCGCTGTGTGTTTTGCGAGAGAGTTTTCGGGAGTGAGCATGCTTTGTCCCAGCACGAGGACGCCAAGCATCCCAGTGGGCAGATAGTGTTCTCAGGAAGGTACTACTAAACATATGGTCGAGCCTTCATGGATGCAATGCCGTGTAACTATTTTGTTGTCTCATTACCAGCGTCAAAGCGAATTCTCTACATTCACGATGCTTATGAAAGTGCAGCCAAAATAAGGAGCACACTTTTTGTGTATGGGTTGTTATTAACAACAATGACGAGTAAGCCTCAAGGACTGTTTTTTGCGAGTGTACTCTGTTAACGATCCCGTTGTTATGTACCATTGATTTTCCCTTCCAACAGTTTCCGTTCCCCTTGGTGTTGCATTCACGGCGTCGCGCCCCAATTTCTATGAATTCGTCACTCATCCTTCGTCATCCCAATGGTTCTGATGGCGCATACAGCACCAGCCGCCGGCACACCCCTCCCACGCCACGCCCTATTTCAGGAAAACTGACCTGAGGAGTTCGTGGTGCTAGCAACATCATCCGGATTCTAAGCAGCATCCGGATTTTCACCTCTTCAACTTGAATTCCTTGTATCTCTAACAATATGCCGGTTGTTGAATGTCGATACTGCACTGACTCCTTTGATTCGGAGGACCAAGCGCGGGAGCATGAAGAGGAGGAGCACTGGCCCACGTATCCTTGCCTGATATGCGACCGTGGATTTGACTCTGTTCAGGGCCTTCGAGACCACAGGAATAAGAAGCATCCTCATCTTTATTCCTGTCGGATATGCAACAAGTCGTTCGCATCCACTCGAGCAGTGATGGATCATGAACGGATGGTCCACACTCGCAAGTTTCCCTGTCGGATCTGCGACGAGACGTTTGATTCCGTCGAGGACGCTGCGACACACGAGCATGACTCTCACCCGATTTATGTGAAGTGCAGGCTATGCGACCAAGAATTTGTTACTCCAAAAGCCGCTGGACAGCACGAGCAGGACAAGCACACTCCTCTCTTGTCGTGTGAGATCTGCGGAGATCGCTTCTACAATAAGGATCAACTCTTCGATCATGAAGATAAAGTACATCCGTTCACCTTCAGCTGCGACGTGTGTGACCGTACATTCAAAACTAACCACTCCTGCTTGCAGCACATGGAAGCAAAGCATTATTGGGAGAGCGAGTATTGAATATGGAGTCCTGGCTTTCCTGCAGCATCACAGCCATGGGAGATGCTGTGCACATGAATATCCAATACTGCTTTTTTTTTTTTTTCTTCAGGAATCCAGCGTTTTGAACACACATGGGGCTGTCGTTTATTACATCATACATACTGATTACAATAAGATGACACATTTTGTATGAGAGCCGCCTGCTGTGCTGTAGGGAATGACATTCCCCAATGATCAAAAGTCGAGCCTGATGGTGCAGGCCACACATCATCAGTTGCACCACTGGCCAGCACATTCTCAAAAACAGGTGCAAGCGCTCTGGTGGGATCCTGTGGTTGGATGTTGACCTGCTGTAGGTGTATGCCAGTGCAGGGCACTGTGTCACTGCAGCGCATGAAGATACCAAACTTATCGCGGACGAGTGCTGATACGTTCCGGTACCAGATATTGTGCAGAGCAACGTTGTTCTCACTGCCACCACACGTCCAATTCTGGTGCCTGTCACAGTAGAACTGCACAGGAGAAAAGGGTTGGAGATATGATTCACCATTTTAAGAGACGGTTGGAAAGCATAATGGTCTCAGCTGAGCTCACACACCTGATTCAGCATGATGGCCTTGCTGGTGTTCTTCATGTGGATGTTCTCGTAGAAGACATCTCGGACAACCCCAAGACCCCCTTGCCATGTTTTGATGCGAATGCCATTGGTCAGGTTGATGAGTGTCACGTTTACCACCCGCACCTTCGCCACACACCCCACATTGCCGTCCCATCCAACACTCCCGATGCTGCAGCAGAAGACAGCACGAGTGAGGAAGGCTTGAGAATACAACAGAGTGGTGGGATGGACAATAAATCTGGAACAATGCAAACAAGATATGCTGATCTGGTGGCGTTATTCCAGGTGCATCAGAGTCTGACCTTATTCCGTGCCCTGCAGTTGCTTCCAGGTTCCTCACAGTGATGTTATACGCCACCAGCTCCCCCACTGCTACTACTGACACATCGTCATCACCTGCATACACACCCATAGGACAACATCGACAACATCAGCTATCATGACTCAAGCAACAGCAGCTACCACTGACAAGAGACAGCAGCTATCATTTGCACATACGAATGCTGCTGACCTCCATGCAGAAAGCACTCCTCAATGAGAGCGTTCTTGATGCCAACAAGCTTGAGGCTGTCAGTGTTGGGACTCCTGCTGGGCGAGTTGGTCTTGTAGCGCCGTATGTGCAGCCCATCGCACGTGTACGCAAAGAGGTGATACATGGGAGAGTTCCTGCAATCATGCAAAGTGGATGAAAAGCCCTTTGTTTCCACTCCAGTACACTTCACTCCGTCCTGTTCCTTCTGACCAGACGGACTCAATTTTACCAAAACCAGTAACCCAGCTTCACTGCAACGAACAACCGCAGACGCACCAGATGGAGATCCCTTCCACCGTCGTGTTCTTGCAGTGCATCAGCCGGATTGCAAATGGCCTGATCGGAATGGTCTTCTGCAGGGTGTAGTTCCTGAATGCTTTCCAGAACTCCTGCCCCTGCCCATCGATTCTGCCCCCGCCCGAGATCACGAGGCCAGAGAAGTTTTTGAAGGAGAGGAAGCCGCTGGTGTAGGGGAAGTAGGTGCTGGTGTAGTCGGGAAAAGGGTACGCTGCAGGGTCCGATGGACCTACCAGGACCCCGTCAATCTGAAGGGCATGGAAAGGTGGGGGTTGGGGAGGGAGAGCGGGGGTTGTAGGAAGGAGGGCTTAATTGGGGAGAATAAGAGGACAGCGTTGAGGTGGAGCAGTGCATTGAGGTGAGAGTGTGCAGTGCATCGGGAAATGGAGGAGCCAAGGGGAAAACATGGTAAGGGCGGCTATGCAAGTTGTCGCCTTCCCACCTTCCCTAACATTGCTGGTTTGAAACATCTTTACCTGCAATCGCATGCCAGGCCCACATGGCCCCTGCATGGTGATGGGCTGCACGGAATAACAACCACCCCACGGCACCAGCACCGTCGCCACCACCCCCTTCTCCGCCGCATGGCTGCACGCTGCATGCATGGCCGTGGTCAGCGCATGTGTATCGTCCGTGACTGCATCCCCCACCGCCCCATACGCCACCACGTCAAAGACGCCTGCGAGGGGTTGGGATCTCCACCGCCCCTGCTGCTGCTGCTGCTGGTTGTGCAGCTGCTGCTGCTGCTGCGCGGTGATTGGGCGCGAGCGCCAGTGGGGCTTCTGGAAGGAGGAGGAGAAGGCGGAGAGGAAGGGGAAGGGGGCGTCTGTGGACTGGCTGCTGTCAAGAACGAGGAAGGTGAGAGCTGGGACGTGGGGTGGGGGGATGGTGGGGCAATGGGTGGTGGTGGGGGATAGTTTTTTAGTGGACTTCCTCTGTGACTGGCTGCTGTCGAGGACGAGGAAGGTGAGAGCTGGGACGTGGAGGGGAGATGCGGGGAGGGAGTAGCGGATCAGTCAGAACGGGAAAAGGGAAGGAAGGCAGTAATGTATGCGGGAGACGCGGGCGGGGAAGACGGAAAATGGCAATGCGAAGCTGCCAGTAGCCGGTGGATAGAGCCCGTGGTGCCTAGCTTGGATAGAGGCAGTGGCGCGTACGTACCTTGGACTGTGTTGGACTGGCGGGACTTGGAGTGAAATAGCCTCTCCACGTACACGCCCTGCCATGGGGCCGCGGGGCACGCGGGTGAGACGGGTAAACGCGGGGGACGCGAAGGATGCGGGGGACGGGGGGAACGCAAGGGATGCGGGGGAAGAAAGGAAGCGGGGAAGCAGGAAAGGTGGAGACGAGGCACGTCCATACCAGGAGGACGGCAGCAAAGAGCATACATGACGAGAGGACGTGCGACAGCAGGTACTGTTGAAGTCGCACGGAAGTGCGAGGGGAGGTATTGTGGAGGTAGTACGGAGATGACATGGACGGACGCAGTACGAGCATACGTCGATAAGTGACTATTGAGATACCTCGAAAGGTGTCTAAAAAGCACACGGAATTAGGTTTTGATTAGAGAGACCAAATTTGGTAAGGGCGATAGCTGACAGAATAGAGACCTCGTCGATTTGAAGGAGTGGCACCTGCAGAAGGAATGTGAGCGACACGGCGACTACTATCAGCGATACTGCGAGCAACCTCAAGCATCGCACGGAAACCACCGGGCGAAAGGAGTGATGTGACATCGTGCGATCGGCGCTCTCCAGCTGATGTCAGTCCATGTCAGAGCTATTTCTGACAGCAACGAGTGATGTAAGCTCAATTTGCCTCCAGAGTTCTGACAGAGTGAGATTCAAAATTTACCGGTTACCAAGTGCAAGGGTGTGGCGAGTATGCGACGAACATCTGGCTTGAGATAACGAAATGGACAGTCACGATTCGTGCACGAGTTGAATGCGAGCACAACCCGTGACTTATGGATCTGCTACCCTGTTCTCTTGGATCTGCTGCCAGTTCACAGCCTGCAGCCACCCTCATTATTACCGGTTCTACATCTACAACATTTCCAATGCTTAAATTTTCAGGTCTCACTCTTTCTAGGATATTGACGAAGAGCTCAGCATCAGGGATATCAGAGTTGTCCATTTCGAACCTTCCTATTCGCACTCTTCCGCTTCCAATTCCAATCAAATTTCAGCGTCCTCGTCATCCCTGTTCCTCCGATCACGTGCTGAACCTCCTGACAGCAAACGAAAAGGTCGTTCATACTGGTAACCCCATCCCGCTTCGCGCAACCACCAACCAACCCTTTTCAGCTTGCCCCTCAACAAGCTAAGTTGACCTGTTTCTTCTCCAGATAGACTGATTTATTCAGCCTCACTTTCAGGGGCAAATAAGAGCCTCCCGGCGCCGCTGCTGTGCCTCCCATTGCGGTGAAAGTGAAGCCAATAATAACGACGATGAGGAAATTAGATGGGATTCTCGCGTGCGGTGCTCTATTTCTGGGCCTCCACGCGCTGATCGCTTCCGCTCGCGATGTGATCGACTTGACTCCGGATAACTGGGAACTAGACGTGGGTCAGGATTTCTACATCTTCGTCAAGTTTTACACTCCATGGTAGGGCTGTATTCTTCGCCCGTTTAATGTCCTACTTTCAAAGCAGTATCTTGTTTCTAATTTATCGTGCCGGTGCGACCATAGGCGTATTAGTCGCCTCATGTCGTCCCAAGCTTTCCGGCCCTTTAAAGGTGTGGTTGACCGTTCTTTTCAATGTAGGTGCGGACACTGCAAGCGACTTGCACCCGAGTGGGAGAGGCTCGCCGCTGCCTTCAGGGCGTCTGTTTACGTTCACATCGCACAGGTAGGTATCCATGCCGTTGCACATCAACACCTCATCATTTCTCCTATCAATGCTCGCTAAGCTTCCGCAATTACTCTATATCACTACGTCGTACAACATTATGCACGGATGCGAATGTGGTTCTCGAATGTTCTTCCCCTCCTCTCCATCCAATCTCCACCGCACCGCAGGTGGACTGCGACGCACACAAGGAGCTCTGCGTTGACTTTGAGTTGACTCAAAAGTCAACTCTCCCATGTTCTCCTCCCTCCTCTCCAATGTCCACGGCAGGTGGACTGCGACGCACACAAGGAGCTCTGCTCCAAGTTCGGCGTCAGCGGCTATCCCACGCTCAAATGGTTCCCTCGCAACTCACTCACGCCCGAAACGTAAGATACACGTGCTTCCTCTCCAGCATTTATCCGTTCAATTAGTATAAAATTCTTGATACACTGGTGTGCATTCGCTCATCTCTCTCCTTTCCCGGCTTCACGCGCAGGTACACTGGCGATCGCGAGGCAGAGAAGCTGCTGGAGTTTGCCAACCAGAAATCAGGTCAGCCATTGAACCAGTTTGTCTTATCTATCTATAGAAGCCGTCCATGCTAACATGGCAGTACCAGCTGATACCGTTTGTTATGGCATAGCATAATACCGGTTTCATTGAGCGGAAACCCACCGAAGGGGGCGTTTTTCTCGATCTCCAAACAGACTTAGTTTCTGGCCCAACCCCACCAATCCACCTTTCTAAAGACTCATTCAGGCGTGTTTTGCTGCGTTCTCTGCCTGTGTTGATGCAGGAAGCAGAGCGGCACTGCCAGCAGGGAAGCCGTTATTGGTGGTGGAGGTGACTTTTGAGTCGACTCAAAAGTTACCTCTTGTTTTGCTGCTTTCTTTCTCTGCCTGTGTTGTGTTGATGCAGGAAGCAGAGCGGCACTGCCAGCAGGGAAGCCGTCATTGGTGGTGGAGGTGACGCCTGACAACTTCACAGAGATTGTCAAGGACAAGACCAAGCACGTTCTGCTTGAATTCTACGCCCCATGGTACTTATACTTCTTTCTCTCACGATTTCCTCTGTCCTCCCTTTCCCCCGCTTCTTTTCCCCCTCCCCAACCCCTTCCCGCCCTTCAACTCTCTTCCTCCTCTTGCACACACGGGCTCACACTCACACAGCACAATGTGGCCACACGCTGAAATACCCAACCCAATCCCTCTCCCCCATTTCCCCCTCTCTCTGCTGTCCAGTTATCTCTTGGTTCGCAACTCTTGTCCGAATCATCGTGTTGTAACCATTGATCTCTTCCTTCCTCCCTTCCCTCTGTTCTCCTTCGATTCAGGTGTGGAATGTGCAAATCCCTTGCTCCGGTAAGCCTTCATCATCCCCACCTCCTCATGTTGCAATGATTACTAACCAAAGATGCATGATGTGACCTGTCCTATCTCTACCATTTCTCTGTCCTCTAAAAAGAAGCTCACATTATAACGCTCCTCAACTTCCATCCTCGTTTGGAAACCCCCTTCCGCCTTGTTTCACCGATTCACCCGCTTCCTCCACCACCTGCCCCTTCACAAAGCCACCATCCTCCCCTCCCATGCATGCTCCACTCCAGTGGCTTCCTTCCTCAAACCACCCTGCCCCTTCCGATTCCCCCCTGCACTACACTCTCGTTTCGTCTGTGCAGGACTACGAGGCACTGGCAGAGGCGTTTCAGTACGAGCCGGACATTGTGATCGCCAAGTTTGATGCCGACAAGTACAAGGGCACCGTGGAGAAGTGAGTGCGAGAGAGGGTAGGTAGGTAGGTGTGTTTCAAGTCGACTCAAAACACTCATCAAGTCGCCTCAAGACACACTATGAGTCGACTCAAAACACACCAGGACTACTGAAGCACTGGCAGAGATGTTACATTCCAGTACGAGCTGGACATTGTGATCACCAAGTTCGATGCCGACAAGTACAAGGGCACCGTGGAGAAGTATGTGCGAGAGAGAGAGCACCCCCTTTCCGGCTCGACTCGACCTGCCCTGCCAAGCTCTTATTCACTCCATTGTACTCCCTGACCTGACCCTTTCAGGGTGACAGGGTATACACACCCATGCTCTGTGTCCAGCTGGCCGGTTCGCCACCCTGCACTCGGTTCTTGCACCACTCTGCTAGTCCCTCTCATTCACTTACACGGAATCAATCCACAACAGATTCCTGCACACCCAGCTTCAATGCCAGTCAGAGCATGACAACCCCACGGTCATGCCCAACTGTAGCCACATGACGTGACAGTGGTTTGTTGTTTTCCTCCTCGGTTTCCCCATCCCTGCCAGGTACACGATCAAGGGGTACCCTGAGCCACGGTGGTACCCCAAGGAAGGACAGCAAGAAGGGTTCTTCAATAAACTCATTAAGCGCCTCATTGCTTGCAGTTCTTATGTAGTAATTGCATGCCTGTTTGTGTGCTTCCATGCCATCCAGGTACAAGATCAAGAGGTACCCGGAGCTGCGCTGGTTCCCAAGGAGGACAACAAGAAGGGTCCTTCAGTCCACTCATAAAGCTTCTCATTGCTTGCCGTTGGTTGATTTTATCCTTTGTTTGTGTGATTGCATCCCTGCCAGGTACAAGATCAAGGGGTACCCGGAGCTGCGGTGGTATCCCAAGGAGGACAAGCGGGTCGACTTAATCGGCTTATTTACGCCTTGTTTCTGTGTTGGGTTATTGGTTCCCATCCCCGCCAGGTACAAGATCAAGGGGTACCCGGAGCTGCGCTGGTATCCCAAGAACAACAAGAGGGGCGAGCCATACCAGACGTCGCGCAACCTGCAGCCTCTGATCGACTTTGTCAACGCCAAGGCCAACACCTTGCGCAAGAAGGGCGGCCTCCTGGATGACGATGTATGTATGCTCGCCATGTGCTGGACTGTTGAGTTGAGGCGCCTCAGGAGCAACCTGCAGTGCAGCCTCTGATGGACTTGGTCAACGCCAAGGCCAACACCTTGCGCAAGAAGGGCGGCCTCCCGGATGACGATGTACGTATGCTCGCCGGGCGGGCAGTTTGACTTTTGAGTCCGCTCAACAGACGTTCACTTTGCCAACGCCATGGCCAACAGAATGTGCTGTGCTATAAGGGTAGCCTCCTTGATGTATGAATGCTCGCAGTGCTCTTTGACGGGCAGAACAGAGAGCAAAAAGCTATGCCTTCTCTTGAAGAAGCTATGCCTTCTCCCAAAGAAGGTACACTCTATCCCCTACTCTCCTTGGTTGCTCTGCATTGCGTGCTGGATGCATGCAGGTGGGGCGCATCAAGGATCTGGTCAAGACTCAAGATAGCAGTGCAGTACGCCCTGGCATCAAAGGAGCAGAAGAAGGAGCTATGATTCATCCCTTACTCTCCTCTGTTCCTCTGCGCTCGTTGCTGCCTGGTTCTCTCCCGGGTGCTGCGTGCATGCAGGTGGGGCGAATCAAGGACTTGGACAAGATAGCTGTGAAGTACGCCCTGGCATCACGGGAACAGAGGGAGAAGCTATGCCGTATCCCTGACTCTGCTTGGTTGCTCAATGCTGCCCTGCTGCGTGATTGCTGCATGGTGCTGCCTGCTTGCTGCATGCATGCAGGTGGGGCGGATCAAGGACCTGGACAAGATAGCTGTGAAGTACGCCCTGGCATCTAAGGAGCAGCGGGTGCAGCTGAGGACGCAGATGAGCAACACCATCGACTTTCTTGACGCTAAGAAGGACCCGTGCGTGCCCCTTGTGGTTGTGCCCCCCTGAGTGTTTGGTGTTGACTTCAAACGCGTGAGACTGTATCCAGGTGTGTTGTGAGTCGACTCAGAACACACGTTTGAGTCGACTCAAAGCCCAGCAGAGGGTACAGCTGAGGGCGCAGATGAGCAACACCATCGACTTTCTCGACGCCAAGAAAGACCCGTGCGTGCCCCCTGTGGCCTTCTGAGTGTTTTGTGTTGACTTCAAACCCGTGACATTATATCCAGGTGTGTTTTGAGTCGACTCAAAGGACAGCAGAGGAAGGAGCATAAGGACCCGTGCGTGCCCCTTGTGGCTGTGGGCCCCTCAACTCGCCTTAACACATCGCCCTGATGTCTCGAAACACGATTGCCCTGTTCTCTGGTTGTGATGTCTCGAAACACGATTGCCCTGTTCTCTGGTTGTGATGTCTCGAAACATGATTGCCAGTCAGTCCATCCATCTTGTGTGTACCTCCCTTTCGGCACCTCCCGTCCCACTCCGCCTGCTCCCTTCCTACCTGTCGTCTACTTCTTGGGGTGTGACGTCTGATTTTGCTCTGACTTGATGCCTGCCACCTGCCTCCCACCTTGCCCGCCAACAGCTTCGCGCAGATATACATGAAGATCATCGACCACATTGACAGCAACGAGAGATACCTGGCAGACGAGTATGCCAGAGTCGAAAGGATGCTCAAAACGGTAAGCCATTCCTCGTTCACTGCAACCTTTGTCCCCCTCACTCCGTTTCTCTTTTTGTTTTGTTTTTGTTTTCTGTATTTATTACTTTGGCTGCACGTTCTGCTGACCTCCACCAGTAGTGCCTGCGGTTTCCCTCACTGTCCCTCCCTCTCCTTTCCCCACTCCTCTCCCCCCCCCCCTACCCACAGCCTCTCTTGCCAGCCAAGGTAGACCACTTCACGGTGCGCAAGCACATTCTCACGGCCTTCCAATCTAGAATGCTGTTCCTCTTTGTCCTTCCCTCTCCCCATCCTCCCGCTCCCCCCCCCCCCCCATCCCTGCAGCCGCTCGCCCCAGCCAAGATAGACCAGTTCACGGTGCGCAAGCACATCCTCACGGCCTTCCTTGAGTTTGACGAGGAGGAGGTGGCCATCTCCTGAGCACACACAGGGATCAGGGAATGCAGGCAGGGTGCGAAACACGCTGCTCGGAAAAACAGCTTCCATTGTCGTGCTTGTGGCCATAGGAGAGGGTGGAAGGGGTGCCAGTCCAGTGCCAACCACAAAAGACCTGCTCTGTTTTTCTGATGGCTGGGTGGTAGGGCAATTCCTAATCAAAAGTCTGGTGATCAAAGTACTGTCGTTATTTAACCCCCTTGATGCTGCATGGGAAGTCATGGTTCTGCAATAATGCTGAAATTTACACTGCATGTTGCAGATGGCATCCTGGTAACCTGAGGCTTGTAGCCTACGTGGCATACTCGCTGGACTTCAACGGCAGCCGACCAAGCCTGCACTGCATTAATCTTGAAAGATGAATCAGCTTACACTCAGGATGGCACACATACACACATCATGTACATCACATCAAGTGACAGGTTTCGCGAGGTTCTTGTGGCCGGAGCCAATACAAGAGAGAAACACTGTGCCGGTGCTCTCATCAGGGCGGATGTCAAACTGCACGCCCAGCATGGCCCTCATGTCCCTCAGTGCGTCCACTGTGTGTGGCGTTAGTGGCCCCACCCGCACCCGACACAACTCCTCCGGACACAGCGCACACAGCAGCAGCACAAAGGCCTGTGGGAGGGGAATGAGGGGGAGAGAGGCAGGCGGGAAAGAGGTGATGTGAGGGCTGGCAAGGGTCCACTGCCCCACTCGCACCCAACACAGCTCCTCCTGACGTGTGCACAAAGGAACAAGAGAACGACATGTGGAGGAGGAAGCAGGGGAGGTGGGATGGAGTGGGGAGGGGGAAGGAAGGGGCATGTGAATGTATGGCACGATATGAGGCACATCTGCCATGGGTCAGGCTGATGGCCGGAAAACACTGCCAGCATCCCACCATGGGTCCTGCCCCATGCACAGCACAGTGTTGCCATGCTAGTCCGGCCATGAACAGTGCTCCTTGTGACCGTTTGAAAGGCCTAGCGACAAGGAGGGAGCAGTGACCGTGGATGGGATGTTGATGTGGGGCGTGCCGCCATGCTGCCATGCTACCATGCTGCCATACCACCATATGATGCATGTATACACAGCATTTCAAGACGACATGCAGGCATGCATGCGTGCCCTGGCATGGCTGAATCAGCAGCAGCAGGCCCGTCTTTATCACCGCATGCAGCTCCCACTGTTTCCTGCCAACCTCAAGCCTCACCCTCATTCTCCATTCCAAAATCCTCAACCCTCAACCGCTACTTACTGCAACAACCTCGCTTCCCTCGTATCTCCCCTCCAATTTTACCCTCTTCCCCTCCTTCCGATCGCTCACCTGTTGACTGCCGTCCACCACGCCTCCCTGCTTCACTTCATGCAGCAACAGCTGTGCGGCCTGCAACCCTAGATCTTCAGGCACCTCCTCCCCCTGCCCCCCTGCTCCTCCTCTCCCCCCTCTCCCTGCGCCTCCCCCCACCCCTTCATGTTCCCCCCGGCAGCTGGCAATGGCCCTCTCGGCACTCAGCAGGCAGCCGGACGTTGTTTCGGCGACCAAGGATATGCCAAAGCCAGGCGACCTGAGGCGTTGAGGGGCAAAGGGGACGGATGGGGACGGAGAGTTGAGGTGAGACGAGGCGGGGTTGTCAGAATGATGGAGCCCATGGGATGGTGGGACGGGTGAGTATGGTGGTTGAGAGAGGGTCACCATTTAAACAGCATTGGGGGCAGAACAGAGGTAACGTGCATTTCAAAGTAAGTCTTCTCAACCTGAATCAGCCTTGTCACCACAGCACACAAAAAGAAAAAAAGAAAAACAGCCAACCAACTAATTTACCTGCCCGAGTCTGCTCCCGAGAAGTGGTCAGTGAAGATGAAGACATCAGGCAGCAGGCGGTTGAGCACCCCTCTAGCCTTCCCTTCCCCCCCTCCCCAAACGAGAGAGAGAGAGACAACCAACCTGCCAGAGTCTGCTCCCGAGAAATGGTCAGTGAAGATGAAGACGTCGGGCAGCAGGCGGTTGAGCACCCCTCTAGCCGCGTCCACCATGCGATTCGCCACCTGCGGCGCCACCCTCGCTGTGAACGCCACCCCCCTCACCCTCTTCACCAGCCCCTCGTCCTCCCACACCACTGGCTGCCACGTTGGGGAAAACGGGGGAACGGCAGAGAGGAGAATAGAGAGAGAAACGTGTTGAGTAATCCACTCTCAACCCTCCCCATAGATTACCGACTTCAGATATCGCCCTCCCCATCCACCCCTCCCTCCCCTTGTCCTCCGCCCCTAGCCCCTTCCACCGCACCTCCAGCTGCTTCACGATTGGCAGGCGCAGCATCACCTCCCCTCCGCCCAGGGGAGGCGCGCCGCGGCGAACGAGCTTGAGCTCGACTTCCGCCATGTCCACGCCGAACCGCTTCAGGATGGGCAGCGTCGCCGTGCGCAGGGTGTCTATGCTCGGATCGCGGTCGTCGTTCGTCACCCCTGCGGGTGGTCGCGGGTGGGCGCGGGAAGGTATGGTTGGAGGTTGGGGAATGGGGGATGGGGAAGGGAAAGTGGGGGAACGTGGCGGGTGCTGCTGGTTAAGCTTGGGAAAGGGCAACGGAGAGAGTGAGAGAGGATGGATATAATACAAGGACCGTTCGAGAGAGGGGGAGAGGGTGGTGGTCCTTGACGGGCAGGGAAGAGACGGATGCTGTAAGGGACCGAGATGACGATGCGGAAAACAAATCTGGTCTGCCGACAGGCACCGCAATGCACCGCACCACACCACAGTGGACCAGGGGGGGCTCAGGCATCCTGTCGGTGTCTCACCTTTTAGTGTAATGTGGAGGGGTTTTTTTCCAAATAGCCCGAGCACGAAGAGGGGTTGCAGGAAGTAACCTATGGCGCGCGACGTGCCGCAGTCATGCGTCAGGTTCCGCCCGCCGGACAGCACGCCGGGGCGGTACCTCAATTTTGTTCCTGTAACGAGCGGAGGACGCAACACACGAGGTTGGGTGGAACACGCGTGGGTGGTATCCCAACATTGTTCCTATAACGAGCGGAAGTCACAACACCCAGTTGCCACACGACGATTGGGGCATCCAGCGCAGGAGATAGTGAGCACGCGACCGGCTGGGAATGCCAGTCGGTCCTACGAGAGAAGCAAAGGACACGCGAAACCCACGGGTAAATCCCTGTGAGGCCGAAATAACATCCTCCAGCCACTAAACCTCGAAAGCAAACCCTAGACCCTAACTCCTAAGCCTCATATGCCGCGAGCTGACCTGTTTCGTTGATTTCCACAACACAGCCGTTGGAGATCTTTTCGAGCAGTCTCAGCAGCGACGCTTCGTACTCCGTTAAGCCGGGGCTCTCTGCCTCTGCGCGGATGTCGTCTATTCTAATAGCGCGTCCTGATAATGTCGCGTACACCAGACGCTGCCGGAGATTACGCGACCCTCTAAGACGTATCACCATTTCGTCACAGTGAATTAACGGCTTTGTTACGGTGGGTTTGCCGGCTGTGCCTCGTAGTAGTCTGAGTTGAGGTGCGAACAAGAAGGCACGAGGTAATCGAGTAATCACCTGGAATATGGGGTATGGCAGAATTCTGTCCCTAAGGGCCAGTTTGTACGCGTCAAAGGGAGTCGCATCGAAATGAACATCAGAGTGACAGTTTTCATTGGCCGTAAAATGCTACAAGTCTTACATACTGGTAACACTCGCATTCGCCCCAATTTGAAATGTGGTGTTATAACGCGGATGACTGGTACCTGGAGTTTGAATTCCCAAATTGTGGACCCCCCATCTCCCCAATTCCAGAAGAGCATCGCGACTATCGATGACCCATTTTTCTCCGCCTCGGTTCGCTCTATTTGCTTCCTCTGCTCTACGCCCTTGGGTTCTCCTTTCTCTTCCCGCAAGCCCGTTTCCCCCGCGCTGCTCGCTTGTACTTCCAGGTTCCAACCCTTCATTCGTTTCCCGCGCTTTTCTCGATCTCCTCGACCGGCTCACCCCGCTGCCTGTTAGTGCTGAAACGCGCGTAGACTAGAGAGTACAGTTCAAACTGACGTTCAGCTCGCCTCGCCGGACATCCAACCACCCTGCCACCTTGATTTTGCCTTACCTCCCGCGTAGCGTGAACCGTCGTCTGCCCTTGGTCTCACAGTCTGGTCGTAGCTCACCAGATCACCCGGTGGTTACCATTAGAAATTACGTGCGTTTCTTGCGTTCGCGTGTAGGCTAGACACCAGGGCATGGGCGGTAGGAGAGCGAGCGTTCACGTGGTTTGATTCGCTGACCGCCGTTCCTTTCCTGATGACATGAGCAACTATTATGATTTAGACGACATACTGGCCGAGGATGAGGTGCGTTAGCCTACTTTTACGCTGTTTTACGCCGTAACAAGCCTTCATAGTTTTTCCCGCTTCCACGTTGGTAGTTGTCTGGCCTCCTCATCGTCATATTGGTGGCGTGCCTTTCGCAGAAACTTCCCGTTACGTTTCGGACCGGAGCGACGGGAGTGGGACGAGCTCTAGACCCGAGCACAGACGCCGATGACGTAAGCATATGCTCCTATGACATCAGCGTAAAACGCTAACGACATTCGCGAAGCTGCTGAGAACTCATGCCATGAAGTCGCGCGCCTCTGTCTTGCGAGAATGTTGGCAAAAGTGCTTTCCAGGCTCAAGTCGCATTGCTACCATGCTCACGGGCTCTCCTTCTCCTTTGCTTTCCTGCCACTTGACCTCGTATGCTGCCACGTGTCATCCATGCGTGTTTCCGCCAGCTGGCAGTGGGCGCCAAGGTGGACTTGCCGGTGTGGATGGTGCCGGCGCTAGCGAAGCGAAACATGGTGTCGGCCTTGGAGCCCAGGATGTTCGGCGAGAGGTGAGCACCAAGCAGCCAACGGTATAGGTTTTGCTTCGGCAATGGGCAAGCAAAGAGCAGCAGCAAGCGGTAAGCTTTCCCTTTGCCTGTTGGTAAGGATGAAGCAGCCAGAATCAGCCTTTGCTTCAAAGCATGTGTGTCAGCGACTGGTGAGGCAGCAGCAGGACGCCGCAGCCGTACTTTCAGCTGTAAATGAGGCAGCATCTAGCCATGTGAATCAATGTCTAGTCGACAGCAGGGAGAGCAGCAAACGTTGTGAGCCTACAGGCGGGAGTGCAAGCATTGCCGGCCTGGGTCCGAGTTGTTAAAGTGGCATGGCACAGCCAACAAAAGGGCACGCGTGCTTTTCATTCTTCAGAATGTTCCAACTATTCTCTCCAAAACTAAATTACGTTTTCCATATGATTTTGCCATTTTCTTTGTCAATGAGATGCAGTCGGCAATTCATGCCGTATCTTCTTCTGGTTGCTTCCTCGCTGTGTCACCTCTTGGTTCCCAACAGGATTCGGAAGGAGTTGCAAGCAGACGCTGCGTGTGTCAATCTCCGTGCCTGTTCGCCCTACTACTATTCCTTGGGCACCAAGATTGCTCCTTGGTACATTATCCCTGGCCGCATGATTCCTGATCGTTGCCTCCATGGCGGGTGGTCACTCCATGAGCACTTCATCAATAGCTCTTCCTTCGCATTAGCTCCATTGTCACTCTTTCGTAGAAGCCTCCGAGCACCTGTTTACTGAGTTCACCTCCCAATGTTTTTCCCAGCTCACACTCATTTTCACCCCAACGCCCCACTCCCCTGGCCCTGCTGTGCAACCCCCCTCCTCGCTCTGCCTGTCAAACAGGGTGCGGGACAAGACGCTCACGCGCTTCCTGTTCACCACCTTTGTGGAGCGCTACGCTGACCTGCTCACACGCGCGTTTGTGCTCCCAGAGAAAGAGGTGCCTCGCGTGCGCCGCCTGCTGCCCAAGGAAGAGCAGCAATGTGCGTGAGCGGTACCGGGAAAGGGAATGAGCAGGGGAAAGGGGATGAACAAAGGGGGGGGATACAGGAGCAATGGATGCAGGGATTCCACTGGGATACTTTTGTGTTTTCCTGGTCCATAAGCAGTCTGGGTTGTTGGAAGGATGTCAAACTCTGTGTGTCTTGCCTCCTTTTCCGGGTGTTTCCAGTGCTGTCTGCAGGGTATGCAGCCATGCGCAGGTACACAGCATGGCAGGAGCAGAGCTGTAACCGTCTGCTGGTCTCTCCCATTCTTGGGCGCAGCCTCTCTCGCAAGCGTGCCAGGCTGCCATTTGCTGATGTGAGCAACAACAATGGCAACACTAGTGCCAGCACTGATGGTGGAGAACGAGAGAAGGGTGCAGGATGGGGAGGTGGAAGCACATCAAGCAGTGGCTGGGGTGCTGGTTCTGTAGGAGACGGGTATGATGGGCGACCTGGTGGGAACCAGAGACAACGGAGGTGATGACAAAGGATCATATATTTGCGTATTAGACGGAGTTGATATGGTTTTCTTTTTCCGGTTTGGTTTTTCCTTTTTGATATGCAGTTCATGTTATTATCGTCACATAATCAAATTATTGTGCTGTACAGCTGATGTATATCACTTGTTGCGTCAGTGCTATGACCTGGGCCCTGTTCGGTAGCCTTCCAGTCACACTGGGCCCACTCGAACTGGGGAAGCTTACGACATGTTTCGTAGCCTCGGGCGTCCACTCACACTGAAAGGAAGTCTCGTCCAAAAATGCAAAAAGTTACCGTGTGTTTCTCGATAAATTACTGGTCGAAACTTTTACTGAAGCACGAGGCTGCCCGGCTCACAAACAAAAAACAGCCAGCCAAATGGAAAACCCTCAATATGGATAAAAGAAAATCACGAACGGCTACGAACGTAAAAAACCCAGACCGAGCGGGCCTGCCTGAGTGGAGCTTTCACAGACGGTCGAGCTTGCCTGAGCAAGCAATTTCGTGGTAAACTTCACTCGGGCTGGGTTTTTTACGCGTTCGCTAGTCAAGTCGCACTGGGCAGGTATGGTGTTCTAATAACGATTCGATTGGTTTTAAGGTGAGTCGAAATTGGGCAGAGGAAGATCACCTGCACCAACTACAGTGAATGGGGGGGCTACCAAACAGGGCCCTGAAGTGGAGTCGTAAGCTTGAAGTCGCAACGAAGGAGTGCTGGAATATGTCCACCGCGTTACCACCGGCAGAGGTGGAGTTCGCAGCTGAAGCCACGTTAGGGGTTCCACCGTTTCACCCTTGATGACGACGGCCAAGGGCTTGCAGGTATCAGCCTGCTTATCCTCGCGAGCCAATCCGAATGTAGAAACGCCTCTTCGCAACCTATGACCACGTGCATAGAGTTTCGTTGAAGCCACAGCCCAAACGCGGCTGTCTCCTTGCGAAATTTCCGCGTCGCCAGCCGTCGGACAAGTCTGCCAAATTCAAGGCCCGCCCTCTGTTCCTCGGGAACTCCGTGTGCTTGGGCTGGATGAAGCTCGCAGTCACCTGCCTCCCTGACTAGCTGCCTTCCCTCCCTTCCTACCGCACCCACACCCACTCCAGTCTTGGGAATCTCTCCGTCTGCCTATCAGCAACACTGACATACCCAGACCTTTAGGATATGCCGTCACCATTCCCGAGTTCCTGTTGTGCTGCTGCCTTCGCCTCGCTGTCCTGTGCTGTCTAGTACATAAGATGTTGTGTATTGCTGGCGGAGAAACGACCGGTGTTGACAATGGATACCCTTTCACCCAGCTCCGGCCCTCCTTGCGATGCCTGGACCGTGTCCCAAACCTACTCAAATCACCCATTAGCTGATGTGAATAGCTCCTATGCTTTCTAGCTTACGGGACATTTTTACAATGATATAACTAGCACGTTCGCACTCCTGCACCACAAGCTGACATTTGTAAGAGGACGTTTGCTGACATCGACTGATCAACTGACTGAGAATTGCGATGTACTCTGTATAATACTCTCGTTCGGCGTCCTCAAGCAGTCTCCGTTTCAGTGCATGCAGTCCGAGACTCCAGCAACTTCAGGACTGTTCAGTATTATCTTCAGAGTCCAGGTTCAGACAATCTCATTCGGGCGCATCGTAAGCTAGAAGAACTGTGCAGCTTTAGGCATTGTGTATTGACTCCTGTCGACGCGATCACGGACCCTGTCGCACGTCCGTTTTGAAAACGATGACAGTCGTCAGCAGAATCGCAGGCTCGCGCAGAAACACCCCTGCGACGCTCGTACGAATGCCTGAACTCGTCAGCATGCGACTAACCATCCAATACCATCACTACTATCACGAAGGCCATCACCACCGCCATCACCATCACCAGTGCTATCTCCTCCTCCTCTCCTTATTTCTCCTCCACGCTCTCTTCTCCGCGCCTCCCGCCGCATTTGCCGCGACTCTCACCTCGGATATCGCGGCGCTACAGGGTTTCCTGCAAGAGCCGACCAATCAGGCGAAGCTGAGCGACTGGAAGTCCGGGACGGACCCGTGCGCCACTGGCTGGCTCGGTGTGAAGTGCGCCGCAGCCGTTGGATCAAATCCTGCAGCCGTTGGATCAGGCCCTGGGAGAGGCAGTGGGAACAGCAACGGCAACGGCAGCAGCAACGGAAATAAAAATGGACAGGCCACCACGGGGAAGTTTCAGTATGTAGTGAGATTAGACCTGACCGGGGTTGAGCTAACTGGATCTTTACCCACAACGTTAGGATCACTGTATCAACCTACTGCTATTGTCCTCAGCCGCAACAGCTTCTCAGGCTCGTCCATTCCGAGCCAGCTCGGCCAGTTAACGAGCCTACAGGCGCTTCTGCTCACCAACTGCCAGCTGGTTGGGTCCATACCTGACAGCCTCGGCAGCATGACGAGCCTGACGTACCTCAGCCTCGGGCAGAACCTGCTGGAAGGTCCCGTACCTCCGTTCCTCTTCACTTCTCTACAATCCCTGGCGATTCTTGGCCTGAATAACAATAACCTAGGCGGGGAGATTCCCCCAGAGATTGCCTTAGCGCCTCAGCTGCTGAACCTATCGCTTCACGTGAACAATCTGACGGGAAGCATTCCAAGTACATTGGGCAGCGGAGGTGGGGGGTTGCAGCTGAGACAGCTGCAGCTGCATCAGAATCAGCTCACAGGGACGATACCCGGGTCTGTTGGGAACCTGCTTGCTCTTGAAACATTCACAGTGTACAGAAACGCGCTGCTGGGACCTCTCCCGAGTTTCATGGGTAAATTTCCTTCCAGCTCGTACCGAGAGAATGGGTTCTGCAGCACCCAAACAGGAGGGAGTTGTCCTGCTGATGTGAATGCCCTGCTCGGATTTCTACAAGGGGTAAATTACCCTTTGGCTCTGTCGACTTCTTGGGAAGGAGCTCTCCCATGTGGGTCTCCTAACTGGCTCGGTGTTACCTGCTCTCCCGGGGGCCAAGCCTCAGTCGTAGGCCTGGTGCTGCCAAACCTGGACCTGACAGGCTCGGTGACGTCATCATTGGCGAACCTGACAACATTGGCGGCCATAGTTCTCAAGAACAACAACTTAAGCGGCTCCATTCCGGATTCCCTCACGTCCTTAAGCCAGCTCACCCTGCTTGACGTCAGCAACAACCGCCTGTCCGGCCCTTTGCCTGCATTCCCCCCCCAAGTCGAGGTGGTTACCACTGGTAACAGTTTTGGACCGGAACCAACACCAGCTCCGTCCTCCGCCCCTTCCCCACCGCCCGCCCCCTCTCCTGCCGCTCCTTCCTCCTCTCCACCTTCTTCCCCTCCCCCTGCCCCATCCTCCTCCCCCGCTCCCCCATCTGGCCCCACTCCCCCGTCCACCTCCCCCCCGTCCTCCCCCCCATCCTCACCCGCGCCCCCATCCTCCCCTTCCCCTGGAGTCCCATCCCCCCCTTCCGCCCCCTCCCCATCCGCATCAGAGGCGCCTGGGGGAGCTGGTGGGGGGACGGGTGCAGGGGCAGGGCTGGTGGTGGGGGTGGTGGTGGCGGCAGCAGTGGTGGCGCTGGTGGCGGGGCTGGCTGTGGGGTGGTGCTGCTGCGTCCGCCCAGGCAAGGGCAAGAAGCTTCCCCAAACGGCCCCCCACCCCGCCACCTCCTCCGTAAACCCTTTGGCAGCACCTGGACCGCCAGCAGCCGGAGCAGGAGGAGCAGGAGGAGAGGGAACAGCAGAAGGAGCAGGAGCAGGAGCAGGAGCAGGAACAGGAGCAGGAGGAGCAGTGATAGCGCATGCGCGGTTGGCACTGGGAGGGGGGCTGACAATGAGCATAGAGGTGATTCGCCGGGCAACGGGGGGCTTCTCCCCCAGTCACGTGGTGGGGAGGGGCGGGTTTGGCACGGTGTACCGGGGGGACATGCCTGATGGGAGCACAGTGGCCGTCAAGAGGATGGAAGCAGGACCCGTCACTGAAGCAGGCACTCGAGAGTTCTTGGTGAGTGGGGTAGAGGGGGGGAGGTTGGCACAGATTTGGTACGGTGTACCGTGGCGACATGCCTGATGGGAGCAGTGGCCGTGAAGAGAATGGAGGCCCGGCCCGTCTGTGAAACTGGGACTAGGGAGTTCTTTATGAGTGGGGTGGTAAGAGGAAGGGTGGCCGAGCTTTAGCACAGTCTATTGTGGAGGGGCACATAGTGGGGGGCGCATGGGGGAGGGTATACGTCTAATGGGTGGAAGTGGAGCGATTGGAATCTCGAGATGCAGAGACCCATCAGTGAAGCAGGCTCTCGAGAGTTCTTGGTGACTGAGTAGGGTGGCTCAAATGGTTTATTTGACACAGCCTACAGCCCACAGGATACCCTGTATGCTTCTCCTTCTACGCATCTTTCTCCTTCCTTCCCCCATCCCACGAGTCCGAGGTGGCTGTGCTTTGCAAGGAGTGGCCGTGTCGTTGACCCGACCCAGTACGCTCCCTCTCCTGCTCCTCCTTGCTGCCCTTGCACCCTCCCATTCCTATGCGTGCCCCTCCCACCCCCATCTTTGCACCCTGCCACCCCGTCAGGCGGAGGTGGGAGTGCTGTGCAAGGTGCGACATCGCAATCTGGTGGCGCTGCTGGGCCATGTTATGGACCACCACGAGCGCCTGCTGGTCTTTGAATACATGCACCTGGTGAGTCGTTCGTTGTTGTGCGCACCTGGTATGGTGAGTCGCTATTGCGCGCATTGTGGTTGAATTGACGGCTGTGGTGGGAGCAAGCGGGGGGGACTGGCGATGTTGGGCCACTCCATGGACCACCACGAACGTGATAAAAGTAGTGTTTTCAGACGTCTCAAAGCACTACTTTTATCACAGTGCTGTTGGGCCACGCCATGGACCACCACGAACGCCTGTTGGTGTTTGAGTTCATGCAACTGGTGAGCTCATCCTTTTTGGCACTAGAAACATAATTGTTAGAGATACTTTAACCGTTAAGGCTCGATCATGTCAAGACTCTGGGCTTGGAGCATTTGGAGATGGTGAGTAATGCTCGACGTGAGTAAAATTGCTGAAATGGGCGTGTTCGAGAGAAACTCACGCCTCCCCTCCTCTCCTCTCCCCTCCCCCCTCACCCGTCCACCCCATTCTCCTGCACATCAGGGCCCGCTGAGTCAGCATCTCTTTGACCCGACTCGCCACGGCCACCGTCCGCTGACGTGGACGGAGCGGCTGGTGGTGGCGGTGGACGTGGCGAGGGGCGTGGAGTATCTGCACAGCCTGGCGGGCGGGCGTGACTCCATCGTGCACCGCGACTTAAAGCCCGCCAACGTGCTTCTGGACAGCCGGCGCCGTGCCAAGGTGGCCGATTTTGGCCTGGCGAAGCTATTGCTGCGACCGATGCTGCCGCCCGGCGGAGGATCAGGGAGGGAAGGGGGGTGTGGCAGAGGGATGGATTCGGAGATTGCTCCGTCAGTTGAGACGCGACTGGCTGGCACGTTTGGGTATCTGGCGCCGGAATACGCAGGTGCGGCTGGGATGGGTGGGTGGGGAAGAGGGTCAAGCGAGATGGGCAGAGTGGATGTGTGCGGGTCAGGCGGCAAGGTAGATTGGGCTTGTTACGCCAGAGTGGGGATGCTTCTTGTCACATCATCCTACTCCATCCTGCACTCCTCCAAACCCCATCCCACGTCATCCCCATCTCATCTCATCCCATCCATCAACTTCCCACCTCATCCATAGCCTGTGCCCCAATTTTCTCTCTCCTCACTCTCATCCCGTCTGCCCGCCAGCCATGGGTAGAGTGACAACACGCTCGGACGTCTACAGCTTTGGCGTTATCCTCATGGAACTGTTCACTGGCCGGCGAGCCGTGGACACATCCCGGCCTGATCTGTCAGCGCATCTAGCCACGTTCCTCCTCCCCATCATCCCCGACCGCTCCAAGCTTGCCCAGGTGGGTGGTGATGTGGAAAGAAGCTGGGAGGAGAACTGGGAAGAGGGGGAGATGGGAAGGTGGGAAGGGAGCCACAGGGTCAGAGGAAGTGGAGGGAGGTTGTTCATGACGTCATCTTAGGCAGCAGCGACAATTCAACCATGCCAGAAAATTGATAGGTGAGATCTTCCCCTATCGATCGTCTGACCTGCATCTCTATTTTCTCCGCCCTTCTTTCCAGGTGGTGGACCCTGCCATAGCAGCAGGCATGGCAGACCACGCCAGTCAGGCGTTTGCCTCGCTGTGCAAGGTGGCAGATCTGGCGCTGCACTGTGTGGCTGCTGACCCGCGCCAGCGACCCTCCATGACAGACGTGGTCACGGTGCTCGCGCCACTCGTCAGAACCTGGGCCCCTTCGGTACGCTGCTCTTGCGCATCCCTGCATCCCTCACGTTGCCCCATTCTTCACCCTGCTCCCATTCCTCCTGCCACCGGCCCTTTTTGTTATGTTCTAATGAGCGACATGGCTCTGTGTGGCTGGTCCCTTTTTGTGATGCAGGAGGTCGTTCATGCACAGCAGCAGGGGGAGAGTGACACGATGGGGATGACCCTAGATGTGGCAGTGCAGTACTGGAAGAGCCTTGATGAGCAGGGATCATCAGGCAGCTATGGTTACACGTACGGAAGGAGCCAGGATCACAAGCACAGTGAGGGTCTTGCAGACAGTAGCAGCTCAGAGTTTCAAGAAAAGGTTGGGGTTTATGGCAGCAGCAGCGATGAAGCATGTGGCATCCACAGCAACTTCTCGCCAAACTTTCAATCAAATGAGCGTGGTGCTTTCAGGTGTCATGACAACAATGATTCTGGTAGTGACGTGGAATCGCCTGTGGCCTCTGTTACTTGTGGCGGCTTGTTCTCGTCCGGAGGTCGCGACCAGCAAGCAAGGGTGGAGCAAGAGGATCATATACTGCTGCTGTCATCACGTGCTGGAGGGAAAGCGAAAGGAGAGTTAGCATCAAGAACAGTTGAAGAGGAAGCTGCACACGGCAAAGCCACTGAGCTTCCTAACAGGTCGGGGAGTAACAGTTTTCCAACATTTGCTGATCCGTCAAAAAGTCTGGTTGGTAGGTAGTGCCAAGATTGTTGTGTTTGGAACGGGGTTGCTGAAATTATTAAATACCGTATGGTCAGATTACATTCATTAATTGATGAATATACAGTAGCAGGGTTAGACTCTGGTAGGTTTCTGCAAAAAAATGGGAAAGCGTATTTGCTTTCAAACTTCAATGGCGATCTTGCCCGAACCATTGTGTCTCTGCAATAGCTTGTAAAACTCTACGGCCTTCACGTTCACCTGCAAAGAATATCAGAAAGTCAGCCCAATGTACAACTGTTGTACAAGGTAGATTGAATACAGAAAGTAGACATACCTTGACTTTGCCAGCATCAAAGCCCAGAAGTCGAAGACCTTCAAGAGACCGGACCCGAGAGAGAGCGACATAAACCATTCCATAGTCGAACGCCCTCTTAAGGTCAGTTTCCACCCTGTCCAGGGTCATTCCCTGGCACTTATGCACACTGAGGGCCCATGCCAGAGTCAATGGAACTTGCCAGCGCTTGGCAATCTCAGTACCATATTCCTCAACAGCCCAGCTTTCAGGACCAATTATTCGCTCAGACTGGTCACATGCAAAGCGAACCACGGGCCACATCCCCGAGGGGTTGATGACGGGAGCCAGATGCCTAAACTGTGCAGCAGACGGGTGAGCAGGGTCGCAAAAGCCAACCACAACACCTCTGGCACCATTAACAAGCCCTTGGGGAGTGTCTAGATTCTGCAATGTTTGAGTGCACACATGTCATCACAGAATGCATGTCTGAATGGAAACAAGTAGACAAAATTGACAGTGTTGGTACCTTGATAAGCATGACTTGAGCACCACGGCGCAGTGTCAGACGCTTTTCAGCTCGCGTGAATTCAAGCTGCTTCTTGGCATATTCGCTTTTCCCCTCATCCTTGGCATTGTACATCATTTCCATCTCTTGGAGCTCCCGGAGCCGCTGAAAGTTTTCTCCTGCTACATCTGCCTGAAACAGGATGCAGTGTCAGATGGTTGGCAAAGGATGCAAACAAAACATCCAACAAGCAGGCACACTCACTTGACAATATAGCATTGTGCTCACCTTGTACGGGTATAGCTTTGTCAGCATGATGCCATCGTTTCCGATTGGAGCACAGTTAATACGCTTCCTCAGTCTCTCCTGAGTTGCAGGTGTGACAATGCCTTCCCTAATTTCGTTCAACATGCTCACAAACGAGAGGTCTGACTGCCTGAACACATGCTTCAACTCCATCTGCAGATTGAAGCAATCATTCCAGCACTTCGCCTCGAAAGCGTAAGCGACGTTACTCTGAGGATTCACTGGAGGGAGTTGGAAAAAATCGCCAGTTACAAGAAGCTGAATGCCTCCAAAAGGCTTGGACGACTTGCGGATTTTTCTTGCGATGAATTCAAGGTTATCCTGAGTGCCAGCATCAGAGAGGGGATAATCAGTGCGAGTAATATGGACAAAGGACACGAGTTGTCAACGTTGCAAAGGTAAACTCACAAAAAACTGGGCATCGATCATGCTGATTTCGTCAATGACCAGTGCTCGTGCACCTTGCCACCTCTGCCTTGCTTCTCTCCGAGTCTGGACCTTATGCAGCAAGTCTTCTTTAGAACCGTTTCCTAGACCAACTCCAGCAAATGAATGGAGCGTAGTTCCTGAAAGAGCACAGGCAGCAAGGCCTGTCGATGCCGTCACATAAACGGCATCGCTCCCATGCATAGCCCTGAAAGTGTAAAATAACAGTTTTAGTCATCTACGGAGGGGACAACGTGGAATTTTTTTATAACGGTATCCCTACCTCAGTGAGCGGATAGCGAACTCGAGCACAAAGCTCTTACCAGTCCCTGCACATCCTGTCACAAAGACAGACTTGCGCATAGAGACGGCAGACAGTGCCTTCATTTGCTCTCCAGAGAGCTTAACGTCTGAACGCTTTTTCGGGTCTTGCTGCTTAGGCTCGTTGACTTGGTCGGACTGAGTAACAGCAGGGGTGTATGGTGGAGGAAGATTCTCCGGCGGAATAACATTTTCGATTCTCCTCTTTTTAAACGGCGTGTCGGCATTAACGGAAGCTCGCAAATTGGCAGCTACTGCAGGCACGCGCTCGAGCGCATTTCGTCTAATGGCTGCTTCTCGCCTCTTAATTGCTTCCAGCCTATTTCTCTCAATCCTTTCGAGCTGATCTGGTGATAGCTGAGTTAACCGAGGGCAATCCTGGCTTGACATGGCGCTCTCGACGTCTGGTGTCATAGTCATCACACTGGTGAGAGCACTGGTGGAAGCGCACACACCGAAACTAAGAAACCAGAACAGAAGCTGAGAATGCTTGAAAGGTGAGTGGTACGGTTAGGGACTGTTTGAGTATGAATTGGAAGGGGTGTGGGCTGGGTGGATGGAAAGCGAAACACCAACGTGACGCTTCTGCCGGAAGGCGGGAACTTCTGAGGGATGCTGTCCCTTGAGCGTCAAATATTGTTCACGGAAGAGTGTCCGCGAAATATTGTTCACGGAACAGTGCCCACGGCGTTTCAATATTGCATTACAAAAAGGACAGTGGTGATTTTGGGCCAACCTAAGTTGCAATGTCAAGACGTGGACCAGACTGACATCAGCCCAAGGTTGCACTTGCCATCGCTGCAAGCTAATGCTGGGCTGTTGGTCAGATTCTGGTCACGTAGCTGCATCTAGTCTAAGACATCACCGTACAATTAGCCATGGCCCCGCTTCTACCAGTTCTGCATCCAGGCCAGGCTAAAAGTGTTGTCAATGCTCCAGCTTGGTATGATGATTATAAACCTTGCTCCAGGTCCACTAACCATCCTCCACAACATCAGCCATCACCGCGCTTCCTCAAGGAGCTTCCCATCAGCGAATCTCCACTTCTTGCTCCTGCACTGAAACTCAGTCCACCACTGAAGTAAATGCAACCACCGGGCAACCTGTTAGTGTCTGTGGCTGCTACATGTCTACTCCTTGGGCCCACGAGAGGTGCCTCCTAGACGACCCCCAGCAAACATGTCACGGCCCTGTGTAGGGAATAACATCGATGAAAAATTGCCATAAGCACCAAAAGGCAGGGAGAACAACAAAACAAAACATTTGTGAGCTGCTCCTATCAAGTTTGAAAGGAGGACAGACATAGGGAAAGGGGGAGGAAAGCAAAGAATGCAGAGGAGAAACTACAACCTATCCAAGAAGGCAAGATAATTAACATGGACAGAGGGAAACATACCCGCGCCCCTGAACGGATGCCAGACAGAGCATTAGAAATGCCGAGCCCTCCTGACCGTTTCCCTTCCACCTGCTCAGCTGCCCCTCCAGCCCTCGTCCCTGGGACCCCCATGCCCACCCCACCCCCAGATGCTGCAGCCGCTGCTCTCCTGGCAGCGGAGCCACTGCCTGTGCGCGTGTAGCCACCCTGATGCATCTGACGGTCAGCATCAACTCCCTGCACAGTGGCAGCACCGCACAGTAAGGAAGAAAAAACATCAAATGGTAACAGGATCAGGGAACACATGAGGCATGATTCAGCTGACTGAGATACGAAGCAACAAAGGCAAACCGCCGCCACAGTACAGCGAGTAGGGTCAAGGTTGAGGAAAAAGTAGGAGCAAGAGTATGAGTCAGGGAAACAGCAGGAGATGATTGGCAGCCCTCACATCATCATCCCGCAGTGGGCTCCTGTGCCTTGGGCTCTCGATCAGCGGTGACCGACGCCGCGCCATGTCATCTGACGAGAATGAGGCATTGCAAACAAGTGGAGAAGAGCTCGTGTGGTGAGAAGGAAATGGGACCAGACCATGGTGGCGTGCGTGAAAGAATGCACACATGGTTATAGGAAGCAGCTACATGCGTCTATATGCTCATCCCTTACCCATGCCGGCATTGGCTGCTTGGTTTGCAGCCGCAGGAGCAGGAGCCACAGCTGCGTTTGCCTGGAACCAACCAGCAAAAAGACACAAAGGAGACGTCAGAGGGAGACAACAAGGGAAAGGCGCAATCCTCACAACACTAGAAGCTTCTCGGCTGCGATGCCTCATGACATACATGCTGACAAGGGAAGGCGGGAATCATGGAGACGTACAAGGAGGCGCTGGGGAGCCACGGATGCCTGGGATTGCTGATACTTGAGAATGGTCCAATCAAAGACATAGTCGAACTGGAACCCTGTCAGCCACACACACCAGAACAATAAGACTTTCAGCGGATGGTTTGTCCATGAAATTGAGCAATGCAACAATGATGGATGAAACACAGCAAAAGCGCAGGCGGGAATGCTCGAAAAGTGGTACCTTCTCGAATGAACAAGTCGCGGAAGAGACGCTTGAGGTAGGCATAATCTGGCTTGTCATCAAAGCGAAGCGAGCGGCAGTAGTGGAAGTATGAGGCGAGCTCGGTGGGGTAGCCTTTACAAAGAACCTGATAAATAGGGGTAACAAGAGGAAAGAACAAGCAAAGCAGAATGAGCAAATGCACTCCGCACAGCACGCAATAACCTTCTCAACAGCTTCTGAATACAGAATCGAATGTTTCGAAGGAGAGTACCTCAATGGGAGTGGACATCTTCTTCTCGCTGATCTTTTCATACTTCTGCTTCTTAGTCCCAGCCTTCAGCCCCTGCCATGGAAGGCTGAACAAGAAATGCAAGGAGAGATGGCAGAGGAAACAAACAGTCGGGTCAACCAGAACAAAGAGATTTAGAACAATTTCCCAACTTGCTGCAGCATTGACCACTGCACCGAATCAGCTGCCTCATAATCCCGTGCAACGTACCTTCCTCGCAAAAAATACATGAGGACATAGCCAAGCGACTCCAAATCGTCCCTTCGGCTTTGCTCTGAAATGGGGAGGTTGAGAAAGAAGAAACGTAGAATTAGTCTCACGATATTCAGGGCGGGCA